ATTACTTACCAATTATAATCTATTACTTGTGAAAAGATCTTTAGTGAATACAGAACTGAATCTTAAAAATTCAAATCTTAAGATGTACTTACTACAATTAATAGTACCTTTTGACAAAACAGCTTTCTTTTTGAAGTGGCTCAGAAAAACTAAGTTGAGAAATTTTTTAATAGTAACTGTCATCAATCTACAACTCCCAGTAAGTCATTTCAGCAGGAAAATTTCCTAAACATGAGCTGAAGCTACAAATAAATATAAAAACCATAGCTGTCCAAGGTAGAAAGGTGGGCACTCAGGTAAAATAATGACAGTAGTAGACTTCTTGCTTGTTCTAGAGTTAATGATGAAAGTAAAATTTGCTTTAGTTTAGTAGCTCTAATTTTTCTTAAAAGGATAGGCAGATTTCTCAGGGGAAGAAATCACCTTATCACCAATTAAAAATTTAACACACTTAGACTCTTTTTAGGGGAAAAAATCTAAGTAAACACTGTAGTTCCTAAATTTCCAGGTAGGTTATTAATCTCTCCTTAAAAGTAACTGCCCCATTCCTTTCAATGACATATAATCATTACAGGTGCTTTTTACAGATAGATTTTACACGTAAAACCTTTACTTAATTCTTTAAAACGAGCAAAAAGAGTAGAAAAACGGTGAGACTGCTACCCACCACCACTTGTATATAAGTGACAGCAACTGAATACTTCTTTTTCTTTTTTTTTCTGGGTGAGTTTCCAAGGAGCTGTGTAAACTGAATACCTCTTTACTGAGATGAATGCTTTTTCTTTTTAGTGAAAATAATTTTTCTTTAATTTTAACAGTTTGTACATGTACTGACTATAGTTAGTTATTTCTCACCAGTCACATACTCAATAATTATTTTACTCAGACCCATGACTTGACCACAGTGATAACAGAAGCTGGGGTGGGCACAAATGCTTACACACAATATTATAAAAGATGACATTCACTGGTTTAGAGAAACTGATGAATTTTCATTACTTTTACATTTTATAAGGCTAGCTAACTTTAACAGTTAACTTTAGCTAAATCTACTTACACAGTACAATCAACTCACAAATACTAAAAGGTTTCATGATCAAAATGGCTACTACTTCCCCCAAAACCAAAACAGAGTAAAGCACAAGTCTTTGGCTCTCCTTTAAAGAAAACAGCAGGTTACCATTCTTAACCAGACCTTTGTTTGCCTACCAGTAGGGCAAATACCACATTTGTGCATCACTGAGTAATAACACCATTAGAAAAGGCAACTTCACAGAAGTTATTGGCTAAGCGAATTCATTTGAATGCTCTGTTTTGAGGCAGCAAACTGTCACTGTTGCAGATTGGGGAGGGCATTGGGTAAGTCAAGGGGAAATTACAGGGTGGAAAAAGGTCAAGAAAAAAAAAGACATTTATGGAGAAATGTAAACTTTGAGCTCCATCCCTGAAGAACTCTGGAAAGTCTGATGGAGTTTTATACTCAAAGTAGAAAATGAGAATCATACCAATATTCTGTCATTCAGGCAACAGAAATACATGGGAAAGAATGGAAGGGAAGGAAGATAAGATGGGAGACAGGAGTCACCAACATTAATGCTGTACCAAATCATTTAAAATACATTCTGAGTAGTTGAATATTTGTAGTTGGCATTAGGAATAGTGTCTTATCAATATCTAGAATAGTATTATTAGAAATTCATGCTAACTTTTAATTAGAAAAGTAATAAGGAATGGATCTTTGGTCGCTTCAGCCTCTGAATTATCCAAGACAGGACAGCTATTGGACTTATCTTGTTACAAAATTATGTATAAATTAGGCAAAAGAGCTATATATAAAACAGAAATTGAATCTAGATGTCTTATTTTCCATTCTTCTACCCTTTTCTAGAGACCCCGTCAAAAAAAGAGTAAGTCAAAGTACTTTTATAATTCTTACTATAAATAAAATTCCCATACCTATAAATGAGTGAACACAGTGCTTATTACTCCTACCTTAACCTATTCAGAATTTTCATTTCAGATGGCCAATTTTTGCTTTTTAATTTAGTGAAATACAAATACAGTAATACTTAGAAGAAACTAATATTTTAATAAGAAGAGAGCATAGAAACTGTATTTCATATCTGGTTTAATCTTTGTCTCTTGAAAAAAAAGTTTAAAAGCCAGAAGGAATTGCCTTTCAGATTTTGATTTTTAGAAAGTAGTTACAGAGTCAAGCAGTTATGCCCAAATATGCCACTTGTCCTTACAGGCTCATGATATCACAGAAAAAAGGAAAAGGAAAAAAAACCCGCAAATTTTGGGGCTTGAATTCCTAAAACCACTGATGAGCACTAGGAAAGCTGCAAGAACTTCCATTAGGTAAGGCAGAATGACTAATTTAAAATACACTGTAGGTAAAATGGGACAATATACCATTCTTGTGATTTGCCACCCAACCAGATTAGCTCTAGAGTGTAGGGCCAAGGAGGGGTACCTTTTGAATTCGGGTTGCAATTGAAGAGACTTTTTTCCCCCTAAATGAAAATACATGAAAAGAGAAAGATACTATTTTAAGTCAAGTTAATACAGTGACTTTTCTGGTTTTGTTCAGAACAGGAATACTGTATAGATTAATCCCTGTTCCTGCCTACTTCACAGAATCAAAATGGCAAAAGACAAGAACAAGTATATTTAAAGGAAATAAGAACAAGAGTAACAGAAATTGAGCTATTAGGGGTTTCAACTGCTACCCAAAATCAATCTTTACTTTTATCGTAAACTTAAACAAAAATCAGTACCCACAAATTGTCTTCTAATACAAGAATCATTCTGAATTCCAAAGTGAATCAAATTGAATCAAAGTGAATCAATTGCTTCTAAAATTTAGGATGATCTAACATATTCAAAGGAGAAGTAAGATTGATCCAAATCTGCCTATAAGAAGGTTGGAATACAAAAATTAGCTGGGTGCGATGGCATGTGCCTGTAATCCCAGCTACTCAGAAGGCTGAGGCAGAAGAATCGCTTGACCCAGGAGTTAGAGGTTGCAGTTAGCTGATATAGCGCCATTGCACTCCAGCCTGGCGCCAGAGCGAGACACTGTCTCAAAAAAAAAGAGGGTTGGAGGCCAGTGTTTCCTTTTACAGTTATGCAGAGAAATGAAAAACCTTGGGACGATGTCAGACACACATAAATTTCTTTCCTTCTCCCAATAAACAATAGGTATTTAAAGTGTAAATGTGAAAGGTTTTAAGTAAAAGTCAAAAAGCAAACAAAAGCAAAAAAAAAAAAAAAAAAAAGTAAAACGACAAAAGCATTTTTTTAAAAAAAGAAAGAAAGAAAAATGCATAAGTCAACTGAAAAAAAGAAAGCCTCATCTTCATTCAGTGCTTCTACCACTTCCCAATCGGTCAATTTATCGCAACAGCTGCGCTCATGCGAAAAAATCCTTAAAACATACCCAATATATATACAGATATAGCTATGTATATATGTATATATATAATATATATATAAATTTTTATTTAAATAAAAAAGAAAGCTCGAATCCCAAGCCAATATGTGTATATCAAATCCTTGACCAGCCAGGTCTGTAGGGCATAATCAAATTCAATGTGAAATAGTATATAAACACGGTGCCTTGACTGGGCAAATTAAATAATTGCTACTCAAAAGAGTGTTCTGTTTGGACTCTCCTACTGGTAGGCAATGGCAGGACTGTATTACCCTTCCCACCCCCACCACCCATTTGTTTAAGTTAACAGTATGATGGACACAGAGCTTAGACTGAGGTTGTTATGACCTCAGCAGGAGTTAAGGGTTAAGAAAATAAGAAACAAGAAAAATATAAACTCTTGTTTTTACCCAACCAAAGCAATGCAGTAACTTATTACATAACCAGTGCTTTCTAATTTAGTAGTATAATCCAGAAAGGGAAACCGAAAAAATCGGGCAAATAGAGGGATGGAGAGGGCAACTATATCAAACAGACCCCACTAAACATGTTTTACAGGGTCGTAGTTAAGCACAGACACATGGCATCAGAATATGTGCAGCAGAATTAAATAAAAACAAAAAATCCTTAACTCTTTAACATTTTCATGAAGAAACATTTTCAATATTGGGCAGCTAAATCTATGAAAAATGACTTCAAACTATTTCCTACCTACTTATAACTAATGATTCTGGGTAACAAGTGATCAATTCAGAAACTATCCTTAAGATGCAATCAGTTTACAAGTAAAACAAAAACATCTATTGAAATAATGTGGCTCTATTCATTTTAAGTTCAAATGAAGTGTTGCAGTTTTAAAACATGGTTGATTGTTCTTGTTTTTGAGCATACTATGATTTCAGCAAAAGTTTAATTTGAAAAGCACTGCTCCAAATTTCCAACCATGAGCTGAATGCAGGCAAAACACCAAACATGTATTTTCAGTGCTAATGAGTTACAGTCAATTCTTAATCACCATTTAAATCTAATTAAACAACTGAACACTGAATCAGCTTTCTGATTATATTAAGAGAATGCAAATGATCCTTAATATGAAAATAAGGATTTCAAAAATTGGTAATTCTCTCTGAAAAGTTAAAATAAAAACAAGAAATAAAACCTTCCTAAACAATCAAACAAAAGTTTCAATGTCAAGAAAAGCATTCCTATCCAATGAAACTAGTGATCTAGACAGGGATAAAGAATTCCAAATAACAGCTCTGGGAAAAGTTGGTTTGCTGCACATTTTCTTTTCTTTTTTTTTTTTTTTTTGAGACGGAGTTTCGCTCTTGTTACCCAGGCTGGAGTGCAATGGCGCGATTTCGGCTCACCGCAACCTCCGCCTCCTGGGTTCAGGCAATTCTCCTGCCTCAGCCTCCTGAGTAGCTGGGATTACAGGCACGCGCCACCATGCCCAGCTAATGTTTTGTATTTTTAGTAGAGACGGGGTTTCACCATGTTGACCAGGATGGTCTCGATCTCTCGACCTCGTGATCCACCCGCCTCGGCCTCCCAAAGTGCTGGGATTACAGGCTTGAGCCACCGCGCCCGGCCCACATTTTCTAATAACTCAGTCTATTACTGTCTGTTTCTTAAGCACCGCAGAATTCTCCGAAAGCTGACATTTTTGCTCTAAGTTTATCGGGTGGTGAGAACTGGTAAGGATTGGGGGTAAGGAATTATACACTGGGTATGTAATAATACCAAAATACAAGAAAAACCTACTTCATTAAGATCATACAATTAATCAAACAGAGTGTATATATAATATCTTCTTTTTTTTTTTTTTAAAGCCCTGGATCCAAGGCGTCCAAAGTTATTAAAATAAAGTTCATTCACAGAACAAAAACAAATTTAATCTGAATTGCTTGCAGATACTGCTAATTTTCTTTTTCTTTAAATTAAAAAAATGCATTAATGTGAACTATGTGCAGGGTTTGTTTTTAGTAGTGGTGTTTGTGCACATTGCCTCTGGTGAATTTCCTGGATTTCTCTGACTGCTCTTAAGAGAAAAAGTTTAGAAGTTATCCGTTCTCCTACCCCTATGGCCGACAAACTGATTAGGAGCAGAAGATAAAAGTAGGACTCTTCATATTTCAAGGAGCAGAACTGGGAGTAACTCCTGATCTCTGGGAGTCATTATTATCCCCTCCTCCCTCAGGGTCCTCTGATAGGTTCAGAGAGCTGGTCTTGTTTGATAGGAGGCTGATATTCTCTTGTGTCAAGGCTGATCCATTTGGTACATCACTGTTGACATTTCAAAATTTTGAAAAAGGAGAGAAAAATGATTAGTACAATAAAATCAACAGGGCTCAACATTTAGCATAAAAAAATATATAAATGGTTTCCAAATTTTAATCTACAGCCCCTTATCGATGTTTTAGCACAGGGTTAGCAAAATAAAGCTAGCCAGCTAGGTATGTATTTTTCTAACTAAAGTTTTACTAGAATATAGCCTGCTCATTTGTTTAACATACTATACACTGCTTTCAAACCACAGAGCAGAGTTGAGACTTGTGACAAAGACTGTAAGGCCCATACCTCAAAATACTTACTACCTGGCCTTTAAGAAAAAGTACTGATGCCTGATTTAGCAGGTTTGCCAGTATAAGAAATAATTTTGGGCTCATGCCTGTCATCTCAGCATTTTGGGAGGCCAAGACAGGTAGATCACTTGAGCTCAGAAGTTGGAGACCAGCCTGGCCAACATGATGAAACCCTGTCTCTACTAAATAAAAATACAAAAACTAGCCTAGTGTTATATGCCTGTAATTCCACCTACTTGGGAGGCAGAGGCACAAGAATTGCTTGAACCTGAGCAGCAGTGGCTATAGTGAGCCAATATCGCACCATTAAACTCCAGCCTGGGTAATAAAGTGAGATTTTGTCTCAAAAAAAAAAAAAAAAAAAAAAAAATTGAATCCAAGATAATACATGAATTAAAAACAGTCAAAACCCAAGCCTGAAAGCATTAGAAATTTTTGTTATATATTGTCAGAAGGGTAATTTAGGACTATGCATTCCAAAGCCTCAAAATATCCTTAGAAAATAATTTAAGATATGAAAACAAAGCATTAATTGTAATGCTGTTTATTGTAGGGTTGTTCATAGTAGTTGATATGTTATCATTCCATAGCTGCATAATAATACTGGAGGATACAGACTAGACTAAATTTGCTGGGCACAGTGGCTCACGCCTGTAATCCCAGCACTTTGGGAGGCCGTGGCGGGTAGAGTTTGAGACCAACACGGGGAAACCCCGTCTCTACTAAAAATACAAAAATTAGCCGAGTGTGGCAGTAGGCGCCTTTAATCCCAGCTACTTGGGAGGCTGAGGCAGGAGAATTCCCTGAACCTGGGAGGCGGAGGTTGCAATTAGCCAACATCGCACCACTGCACTCCAGCCTGGGTGACAGAGTGAGACTCCATCTCAAAAACAAAACAAGAACAGACTGAATTAAAAACCAGGTACGTGGAGTGCTGGGTTTGTAAAACTAGCAAGAGGCTAAATGCCCACATACTTTAAAAAGCCTGGAAAGATAATACACCAAAATGTTAACAAGGATTATCACCGCCTATTGGAATTATGGACAATTTTTAAATTTGCCCTTTTCTAAAATTTTCCATTTCCTAAAGCTTATTTTTTATAACATTTAAAATGGGGAGTTATTTTTTGTGTTTTCTTTTTTTTAATGTTAAGCATATAATACTTTTATAATGTAAAGATATAAGGCCGTGTTCAAAATAAATTTTAAAACATGGGGAAGACGGAAACATAACCAGAAATTTTTCTTTGTTAGGTATTAACAGACAATTGAACCTTGGGGTCTTTTATAAGTTTTTTAACTCCAGATATACGAAAAAAATATTCTTAATGTACACAGAATAATGATATTTTGAGAATAAAATATGAGGGTACTTCTGATATGACTGGATAATATGATAATTTCTCTTGTGTGTTATTTAATATGGCTTGAAAATCTCCTTTTTATTATTATTTTTTTTTTTACTGTGGTATCATCATTAATTTTTTTTTTTTTTTTTTTGAGACGGAGTTTTGCTCTTGTTACCCAGGCTAGAGTGTAATGGCGCGATCTCGGCTCACTGCAACCTCCGCCTCCTGGGTTCAGGCAATTCTCCTGCCTCAGCCTCCTGAGTAGCTGGGATTACAGGCACGTGCCACCATGCCCAGCTAATTTTTTTTTTTTTTTGTATTTTTAGTAGAGACGGGGTTTCACCTTGTTGACCAGGATGGTCTCGATCTTTTGACCTCGTGATTCACCCGCCTCGGCCTCCCAAAGTGCCGGGATTACAGGCTTGAGCCACCGCACCCGGCCATTAATTTTTTTTAAATTCTTAAAATTTTCTTTAAGAAAATCTCCTTTTTTTTACCTGAATGTCAATGTAAGGTCCTCAGCCGGAACCTTGTTTTGTGGTTCTGGTTGTCCATTTTCTGCTTGTTTACTTGTATTTAATTTGCTTTTCATGTCCAGAGAACACTGATTTTCCTTTGAAAGATAAGGAAATAAAATTCTATTAAATGGTGTTAGTGGGAGAGACCAAATTACAAATAATACAAAGTGATGATCCAGAAACCATATTTAGTTTTGTAAATGGTTCCAAAGAAACTGGCAGACTAAAAGAGTGACATACATAAAAACATAACAGAATACAACCCACTTGTGCTCACTAAACATGCTGGACAATAAGAGGCAATGCCTCAAACATGAAAAAAATTTTCACAGAAAAAAACAATGACCTAGAAAAGTGGCCGGGCAGTGGCTCACGCCTGTAATACCAGCACTTTGGGAGGCCAAGGTGGGAGGACTGCCTGAGGTCAGGAGTTTGAGACCAGCCTGCCAAAATGGCAAAACCTCATCTCTACTAAAAATAAAAAAATCAGCCAGGCGTGGTGGTGCATGCCTGTAGTCCCAGCTACTAAGGAGGCTGAGGAGGGTGAATCACTCAAACCCGGAAGATGAGGTTGCAGTGAGCCAAGATTGCACCCCTGCACTCCAGCCTAGATGACAGAGCAAGACTCGGTCTCAGAAAAAAAAAAAAGTAAACCCAAGTACAATAAATATCTATAACATACTTACTAAAAGCAAAAAACCCCTGCAAACTCAATTTATTTGCTTAGAAAGATTATGAAAACTATGCAACAAAAAATGTCAAGTATCATGCAATCTAAGGAACCCCCTAAGATTCAAAATTTACTAAAATGAATGTGCACTATGAAGCAAACCCTAAGCATATTAATGGATATAGTTCCACAGGAAAGAATGTGCAGTTTGAATATCACTCATAGCAAAAATAGGTCATCATTATAAAGGCTACAAAACTAGAATGCTATTTAGTGAATACACCTTTATATAACATGTTATTGCAAAATAGTAAACACCATCCTATTTGCTTTCCTAATCAGTATGCTAAACAGAAATTTAAGAACTTCCAGCAGGGCGCGGTGGCTCAAGCCTGTAATCCCAGCACTCTGGGAGGCCGAGGCGGGTGGATCACGAGGTCAAGAGATTGAGACCATCCTGGTCAACATGGTGAAACCCCGTCTCTACTAAAAATACAAAAATTAGCTGGGCGTGGTGGCGCCTGCCTGTAATCCCAGCTTGGGAGGCTGAGGCAGGAGAATTGCTTGAACCCAGGAGGCGGAGGTTGCAGTGAGCCGAGATCGCGCCATTGCACTCCAGCCTGGGTAACAAGAGCGAAACTCCGTCTCAAAAAAAAAAAAAAAAAAGAAATTTAAGAATTTCCAGTAAGTTCTTAAGGAATCATTAAAATCTTGTTTTCTCTAAAAGTTAATAAAGAATTCTAAGACAAAGAACACACCCAAACAAAAGAGAATGAGAAGAGGAATGATAAAATAGGAAGGTAGCCCACCTGCTTGAGAATTATTTTAACTATTAACCACTCATCAGAGTGTCTTGAAGTGATGATTCTGTAGCTCCAGATAATTCTAGAGCCACATGAAAGATTTCATTTCACCTTCCCCTTCTTTTCCCTGTATAACACTCACCATATTCAGTTCCCGTGTTCTCTTCCCGATTTCCCTTTCCACCTGGTGCAGTTCCAGGCTCAACTGCTCACTTGAGATCATTCCAGGCCATTTTGGAGGCTGTGGTGGTGGAGGCTGTGACTGGCCCGCCAGGGTGTTTGCCTCCCTCTGCAACACCAGCCTGTTACTAACAGCCTAGTGTATAAAGCCAAGCACACAGAAAACTCAACACACTTCACACCATGCACAGAATAACCAGGCTCAATTCCAGACCACAGCCTTAAGTAGCGTATCACCCAGCTATTTGCAACAAAAATAATGCAACTGTAAGGCACTGTTCTCTTTGAGTATTGTTTGAATAAAAAAAAGAACAAAACAGGGACATTTAAATTTAGTAAACAGTAATTTCATCTTAAATTGCTTTTATTTTCTGATTTGAAAGAGAAGTTGGCCGCACATGGTGGCTCATGCCTTTAATTCCAGCACTTTGGGAATTAAAAGGAGGGTGAGGCAGGAGGATCACTTGGGGCTAGGAATTTGAGACCCACCTGGGCAACATTATCCAGACCTCACCTCTATCAAAAAAAAAAAAAAAAAAAAAAAAAAAAAAATTACCCTGGCATGGTGGTGTGTGCCTGTAGTACTAGCTACTAGGGAGGATCACTTGAGCCCAGGAGTTTAAGATTACAGTGAGCTGTGATCATGCCACTGCACTCCATGCACTCCAGCCTGGAAGAGATAGCCTGAGACCCTGTCTCAAAAAAAAAAAAAAAAAAAAAAAAGAGTTGGGCGCGGTGGCTCACGCCTGTAATCCCAGCACTTTGGGAGGCCGAGGCAGGTGGATCACGAGGTCAAGAGATCGAGACCATCCTGGTCAACATGGTGAAACCCCGTCTCTACTAAAAATACAAAAAATTAGCTGGGCGTGGTGGCACTCAGGAGGCTGAGGCAGGAGAATTGCCTGAACCCAGGAGGCGGAGGTTGCGGTGAGCCAAGATTGCACCATTGCGCTCCAGCCTGGGTAACAAGAGCGAAACTCCATCTCAAAAAAAAAAAAAAAAAAAAAAGAAAGAAACTGGAAGAAAGACAAGTCAACTACAAATGTGCATCTTTCCTCCTGTTTTTATTGGTAATTTTCTCTGAAGTAAATCCTGTAACTTATTTTCAATGAAACCTCAGTCATGGCAAGGACTTTTAATTGTACTGAGTTAAATTATGTGGCAAATTTCTAAACAATACAGATAGTCTTTTTGGATAGAAAATGCACCTAAAGACTTTAAGACAAAAAAACTTGCATTTGAGGATATGGAGTAATGTCTTACTGGTTGAAGGTCTGAATCTTTTAAGATTCATAAGCAAACATAGCATTCTGTTTCTATGGCACGAATCAGTAAGATGTTTTGAATCAATGTAAATAAGCAATAGCAAAAGCAGACAAAATCTAAATATTACATAGATTTTTAAGATTCTTAACTAATTGCTCACATAGGGGCACAAGCCAGCTGTATGTTCCAAATACAGTCTCCACTGGTCTTCCTAATAAGAAAGTCTGTCTTACAACTTTTTTTTCCCCCAAAGTGATGGCTTACTTATTATTAGAGATTATGGTGGAAAGACAGACTAATGTTCTAACAGTACCATTTTTTCCTCCAGATAGGATAATGTATTTATTACTAGAATATCTTCAGTTTTCCATATTCAAAGAATATGTTCCAATGTAAAGGATGATGTAGAAACAAAATCTAGTCTTCCTTACGTGGCACTTAAAAAGATTTAAAAAAAATTTTTTTTAAGACAGGGTCTCGCTTTGTTGTCCAGGCTGGAGTGCAGTGGCACCATGGGGGCTCACTGCAGCCTCAACCTCCCTGGGCTCAGGTGATCCTGCTGCCCTCAGCCTCCTGAGTAGCTAAGACTACAGGCGTGCGCTAACATGCCTGGCTAACTCTTGCACTTTTTGCAATGGTGAGATTTTGCCATGTTACCCAGAATGGTCTCAAACTCCTGAGCTCAAGTTATCTGCTGAGATTATAAGCATGAGCCACCATGTCCAGCCAGATTTTTAAAAATTCTTCAATTTTGTTTTTCTAAGTGTCAGGCAGCATGATGGAAAAGAACACTGAATTTGGAGTATGAAGAGTTGGGTTCATGTTTCAATTTCACTTCAATCAAAAAAGGAGGACAATACCACCTGCCTAAGCCACCTATCAGGAATATTCTCAGGGTCAAATAAGATACATGGTAGTGATTTTTAAATTGCTATTACATTGGAACTATGTTTTATTTTTTAATTCAAAGTTCTAAGCTTCTACTTTTTAAAAAAGATTTATAAAAGCTGAGGCTTCAGGGAAATTAAAAAAAAAAAAATCTAAAGCTGAATGTATTTGTTGACAAAAACAGTTTACCTTAAACTTAAACGTGGCCAGGCTCACATCTGTAATCCCAGCATTTTGGGAGGCTGAAGCAGGTGGTTCAGTAGTTCGAGACCAGCCTGGCCAACATGGTGAAACCCTCTCTCTACTAAAAATAAAAAAATTGGCTGGGTATGGTGGCATACACCTGTAATCCCAGCTATTTGGGAGGATGAGGTAGGAGAATTGCATGAACCCAGGAGGCGGAGGTTGCGGTGAGCCGAGATCGCACCATTGCACTCCAGCCTGGGTAACAAGAGCGAAACTCCGTTTCAAAAAAAAAAAATAATAACAAAAATTAGCTGGATGTGGTGGTGCATGCCTGTAATCCAGCTACTCAGGAGGCCAAGGCAGGAGAATCACTTGAACCCGGGAGGCGGAGGTTGCAGTGAGCCAAGATTGCGCCACTGCTCTCCAGCTTGGGCAACAGGGTGAGACTTAGTCTCAAAAAAAAAAAAAAAAAAAAAAAAAGAGGAAATAAAGACAAAAAAGGTAGGAGAATTGCATGAACTCACTGCAGTGAGTCGAGATCATGCCACTGCACTCCAGCCTGGGTGACAGAGCAATACTCTGTCTCAAAAAAACAAAACAAAACAAAACAAAAACCTTAAATGTGCCATAAGGGAATATAAGCCCCTGTTGGGAAATTTTAGGTAATCCATTTTCTATTCTTAGGTAGTAGAAATTTAAAGTTTTCCATTTTCCCAGAAATAAATCCAGTATTGAATTTGTTAACGAATGGACACCTAAACTAACTCCTAAGAAACAGACCTTAAAGTTTTGTGTTCACAGTACCTCAAAATTTCCTGTTTAAAATCTCTGAGATCCCTTCAAAAATTGGAATAAAAATGGCTCTCTAGGCTGATACCTCTAGTCCACGTAGCTGGGTCTGCTGGCTAATCTGATGGTTCAATTGCTGCAATTCTAGTCGTAGCTGTTCTCTCTCAGCAGATGGAAGGGGTTTTCCATGACTGGCCACTTCTGACATAGATATTCTCTCCCTTTGTTTAGAAACAAAGTGTGAAGCAAATTTTAATATTTTATTTTGTTAAAATATTACTGACCAGAAAAACAAGGAGAAGTTACATAATTTTAAAGGTTTCTACATGTTTGTTCAAGTAAAAAGAATGGCTCATACCTTTCACTGAAGTGTCCCTGAGAAGGTATGTTTTGATGAGGTGAATATGGAGAACCTCCCCAGCCACTGTGGGTTCCATATGGACTATAATCTGTAAGAGAATGATTTATTATGATATGATGTAATTCACAGATTTGATTCTTCTTTAAGGTACTCATAATCTAAAAGAAATCTTCGAATTAATTATACAGATGTCTGGTATTTACCCCAAATGGCCAGATTTTAAAAATTCCTGGGCGGGGCGCGGTGGCTCAAGCCTGTAATCCCAGCACTTTGGGAGGCCGAGGCGGGTGGATCACAAGGTCAAGAGATCGAGACCATCCTGGTCAACATGGTGAAACCCCGTCTCTACTAAAAATACAAAAAATTAGCTGGACATGGTGGCACGTGCCTGTAATCCCAGCTACTCAGGAGGCTGAGGCAGGAGAATTGCCTGAACCCAGGAGGCGGAGGTTGCGGTGAGCCGAGATCGCGCCATCGCACTCCAGCCTGGGTAACAAGAGCGAAACTCCGTCTCAAAAAAAAAAAAAAAAAAAAAATTCCTTAACTTTGTTTTTCTAAGTGTCAGGCAGCATGACGCTAAGTGCTGATAAATGTTTGTTTCTTCCCCAATGAACTTTCAGTCTTTGTAGTTTTTCTTCTAGATTACTGTATAATGAAAATACTGTTCCCCCAAATAGCAATGAAGTTATATGGGGTGGGGTGGGGGGAATGGAAGAAACATTAAGAAAGCTTCATATGTAGACATTTAATTTCAGTTTATATACCTAAAATTCTCTGGGTTATAATCACCTTTCTTACTGGGATGATTCCATGGAAAGTTTGACAATTACTGCCTTGCAAGATTACTAAAAACACTGATAGTAAATACGGAGCAGGGGTAATGCTGAAAGCCAAGATGATGAACCTTTTGGTCAGCTTATCCCTGAGATTCTTACCCGAAATGTTAATAGGTTTTGTAGGAGCTCCCTGAGGTGCCATAGCCTGCATTGGACCAGCACCCTGATATATAGTTTTGGAAGTTCGTGAGATGGCACCAAACCGAGACACTGTTGGTCGGTCTCCAAACGGGATGAGGTCATCATCACTGGTTTCTGCTGTTCTTCTCTGCAGATCTAATCGTTGGTCCCTCATTCCTTTGCTCTCCACATTCTGATAAAAAAGCAAAATGAGAAATCCACCCCACACTCAGATCTCTCTGAAACCTACTTTTTTCTAGATCTGTAATATGGTTAAAGAAGAGTACAATGCTCTTACTGGTAAGACTAAAATCATTAGTTACCTTTGGTTGTTTTTATATAACACTGGTTTTTAAAACTCTGAGGTGAGGGGCAACAGGGTCTCACTCTGTCATCCAGGCTGGAATGTAGGGACACTATCATGGCTCACTATATCCTCAACCTCCCGGGCTCCAGTGATCCTCCCACCTCAGCCTCCCAGAGAGCTGGGACTACAGGCATGCACCACCATACCCAGCTAATTATTATTATTATTATTATTATTTATAGAGATGAGGTCTCCCTGTGTTGACCAGGCTGGTTGGTCTCAAACTCCTGGGCTCAAGCAATCATCCTGCCTCTGCCTCCCAAGTGCTGGGATTACAGGTATAAACCACTGCACCTGGCCTAAGAAATATATTTTTAAAGTTTATGGGAGGCCACTGTTTTGGACTAAGCTCCCGCACTAAGCCCCAACACACCAGATCAAAGCAGAATGTAGTCACATGTACCAGATGCCAGAAAATCAAACTGAATCTGAAAATGGGCCAGTTTTGGCTGGCCATGGTGGCTCATCCCTGTAATCCCAGTACTTTGGGAGGCCAAGGTGGGCGGATCATGAGATCAGGAGATTGAGACCATCCTGGCCAACATGATGAAACTCCGTCTCTACTAAGATAGAATTAAAAAAAAAAAATTAGCCGGGCATAGTGACACGCACCTGTAATCCCAGCTACTCGGGAGGCTGAGGCAGGGGAATCGCTTGAACCCAGGAGGCAGAGGTTGCAGTAGGCCGAGATTGTGCCAACGCATATCAGCCTGATGACAGAGCAAGACTCTGCCTCAAAAAAAGAAAATGGGCCAGTTTTCCAAAAACAGGAGATTCACAGCAATCAATTAAGAGGACCACTCAATTTGAACTGGCATTATAAGCCCTTCTGCTTTAATCCTATAAGGAAATTAACTTTTGTTTTTTTGTTTTTTTGTTTTTTTTTGACACGGAGTTTCACTCGTTACCCAGGCTGGAGTGCAATGGCGCGATCTCGGCTCACTGCAACCTCCATCTCCTGGGTTCAGGCAATTCTCCTGCCTCAACCTCCTGAGTAGATGGGATTACAGGCATGCGCCACCATGCCCAGCTAATATTTTGTATTTTTAGTAGAGACGGGGTTTCACCATGTTGACCAGGATGGTCTCCATCTCTTGACCTTGTGATCTACCCGCCTCGGCCTCCCAAAGTGCTGGGATTACAGGCGTGAGCCACCGCGCCCGGCCAGGAAATTAACTTTGAAACAACCAATCTGAGTTTTGTTCCTTTTCTCTGTTTAGCTCATTAGAGCATCTTTCTGTTTTCATATATGGAATGCTTCCTGATTAGTCAATCACTAATAAAAGCCAATTCAATCTTTAAAAATATATACATATAATGACCCAGTATATATATGCATACAAATATATATTTATCCCTATATATTACACACATATTATATACATATATATACACACATACAAATATATAATTTGTATGCACATTAACATTTGAGAAATACTGGGTTAGACTTCTTTCACCTATTTGGGAGGTTTTAAATTGCCTCTAGATTGGATTGCAACTTTGTTTGCTTTTGAGACAGTGTTCTGCTGTCACCAGGTTGGAGTGCAGTGGCCTATGAGCCTCAACCTCCTGGGCTCAAGTGATCCTCCTGCCTCAGCTTTTCAAACAGCTGGGACCACAGGTGCATATCACCACACCTGGCTAAAAATTTCTTGAAGAGATGGGGTTGCTATGTTGCCAGGCTGGTCTCAAACTGCTGGGCTCAAACAATCCTCCCACTTCGGCCTCCCAAAGTGCTGGGGTTACAGGTGTGAGTCAACATGTCTGGCCCAAACTTTTTTATTCTTTACTGATTTAAGAAAATGGGTTTTATTTTGCTAATACTCGTGTTACTGTATTATAATAACCCTTTCTGAAAGCCAAGTACAAAGCAAAGATTCCTGCCTAACTTCCCCTCATTTCATTCCAGTAAAAGCCTTACTGCAGCCTAAAAATAATGCTTCCCTAATCCTACCACAAAATAAATAAACAAAAGTAAAAGTTCATTTTGCTTTTTCTTCCTCTAAAACTCTCAATTTTGGGGGCGAAGGGAGGTTGGCACCTAATCGTATTTATGCTATTAGGTATCACTTCACTCATTTACAGTAGTTATCAGCATCCAAATTTTTTTTTATTTTAAATATTGGTCTTTTCTTAATCATTTGGAAAAGTATTTATGAAAATCCATATAACAATCTAGGAAACCTCTTTCAGAGTTAATAAGGACAAATGGGTTAAAAATAATAGTGAAGGCATACCTTTCAACCCAGCAATACCATTTTTTATTTTGTGGGATGGAGTCTCACTCTGTCGCTTAGACTGGACTATAGTGGTGCAATCTTGACTTGACTGCAACCTCTGCCTCCCAGGTTCAAGTGACTTTCTTGCCTCAGCCTCCTGAGTAGCTGGGATTACAGGCACCCACTACCACGCCCAGCTAATTTTTATGTATTTAATAGAGCTGAGGTTTCACCATGTTGGCCAGACTGGTCTCAAATTCCTGACCTCAAGTGATCCGCCTGCCTTGGCCTCTGAAAGTGTTGGGATTATAGGTGTGAGCCACCGCACCTGGCCAGCAATACCATTTCTAAGTGTAACTTTCACACATGTGAAGCTGTACTGCACTCCAGCCTGGGTGACAGAGTAGGACTCCATCTCAAAAAAAAAACAACAACAACAAAAAAAGAGGACACATCTTTTTTTTTTTGAGACGGAGTTTTGCTCTTGTTACCCAGGCTAGAGTGCAATGGCGCGATCTCGGCTCACCGCAACCTCCGCCTCCTGGGTTCAGGCAATTCTCCTGCCTCAGCCTCCTGAGTAGCTGGGATTACAGGCACGTGCCACCATGCCCAGCTAATTTTTTGTATTTTTAGTAGAGACGGGGTTTCACCATGTTGACCAGGATGGTCTCGATCTCTTGACCTCGTGATCCACCCGCCTCGGCCTCCCAAAGTGCTGGGATTACAGGCTTGAGCCACCGCGCCCGGCAAGAGAACACATCTTAAAAGCAATGCTGAGTGAAAATATAAGCTAAAGTGTTTAATTTATATAAGGTCTATAAACATATAAAACAACACTGTTTAGAAATAGTATAAAATTATTCATGGCCAGGTACAGTGGCTCACACCTGTAACTCCAGCACTTTCAGAAACCGAAGCAGGAGAATCGCTTGAGCCCAGGGGGCGGATATAACTACTTCTTGAAAATTTTATTTCTTTAAAAAATAAAAAGACAATTAAGATACTACCCAGGTAGGATAGCTCATGCCTGTAATCCCAGCACTTTGTGAGGCAGAGGCCGGAGGATTGCTTGAGGCCAGGAGTGTAAGATCAGTCTGGGGAACATAGCAAGACCCCTTCTCTACAAAAAAAATTTTTTTTTTTTTTTAATTAGATGAGTGTGGTGGCATGTGCCTATAGCTCTAGGTACTCAGGAGGATCACCTGAGTCCAGGAGTTTGAGATTAGCCATAGCTGTGCCATTGCACTCCACCCTGGTGACAACGTAGGACCCTATTTCTATAAAAAGATAAGATTTTGATATTATTTTAAACTTGGTTATTAGAAACACTGGTGTTACATGATTTTTCACTAAAGAATAAAATAACCCAAGTATAAAATTTTAGCATCTTAGAGTTCACTTGAAGCTGAGCAGCTATAATTCTGGCTCAAATACTACTCTTGTTCACTAGATTCAACTTTGTTATTTAAACTTCAGAGTTGTAAAGAGTTTTAACTTATTTGGTGAAGAAATCCAAGATCTTGATTAATTATGTGAAATAATTTAATCTGGGTTGTAAACAACTGTTGAGAAATTGCTATTTGTACAGAAATAAATGTCTAGGTAAGTATTAAATGCTTTTTATTTACATCTAAATGAAACAAAAACCTTTATTATTTAAAGATAACTCAATTGCAGAGTATAGAATATGGCCTGAAACTTTTAAGCAAAGCTTAATTATTTGTTCCTAAACTGTAATGGGTGAAAATTTATTTGGTTTAATCTTGATTTGTATTAATTATTGCTTAGCTATTACACATACCATCATTTCCACACTCCCTGCTGCCACAACATCTTTGGGTTTTGCATCTTTGGTTCCAATGTAGGAGCCGATGGTGTCACATGACCAGGGAGAGTACTGGCTATAATCATTTCCTTTGTATTTCCCAGCTACCTTCAAGTCTTCATCCAAAAACTACAGATGGAGAAGGAAAAAAAAAAGAAGAAAGAAAAAAGAAAAAAAAAAGAAAATGGGTCTATGAGTAACAAGACAGAGAAAGCAGGGAATTTCTCAGAACATCTTGCTGAAGCAACATAATGATGATTCAATTTTTAAGTGGCACAATAGAAGATTTTCATAAACTACGAAAAATGTAAGTAAAGAGTGATTTGTGTGTGTGTATGTGTGTGTTTTTTTAACCTTAGCAGAAGGTAAAAAGAAAAAAAAGTATTTTAATCTCCTTCCAGAAATCAAGCTAGGATTTTATGGGTTTGGTCATCATTTTCTTCATTAGATGAGTAAACATTAAGCATATATGTACCAAGCCATAATTTTGTTAGACCCTTCTCAATGTTTCTTTCAATAAAATCAAGGTAACCAAGCATATTAAAAATTTTGATTTTTATAGTACATCATGATGCAGTAACTTTTTACTGAAATCTCTTTAATAGCACTAATTCATATATTGAATAAATTCTGTTCCTTGGGTTGATTCAGTGAGATGAAAAGGATATCTAATTTTTATCTTAAGGTAAGTTCTCCAGTTATCTAATAACAGAATAGCTATTCTAAGGCTAATGTATTTTCACTAAAATTGCAACATTCACATTTATATAATGTTTTACATTTTCAAAGTGTTTTCATGTATACTATCTTATAAGCTCTTAATCCGTGATAGACAACACAGGTGATATAACCAAGGCTATACCAGTGTAAGGCAGTGCTCGGACTCTTTAATATTTTTCATTTTATCACAAGACATATATACACTGATACCTAAGGGCTACTGGTTCATTCAAGTGGATCCTATGCCTTCCCCTATATTAACCACATCTCTTTTCTGAGTCATCATTTTTGGCCTTCTGCACTGACATAGGGTCTGCTGCTCACTAACATCACTCATTGTCAACAACTCTTCTGTTTATATTATTCATAACCTCTTCCTTTTTCTTTGTCCTACTATTTAAAATTTTTACCCTTATTTTTCTTCCACTTACTAACTTTATATAGAACAGCTAACTTTTAAAATACATAACCTAACAATTACAGTGCTCTTTTTTTTGAGACATATCTTCCTCTGTCACCCAGGCTGAAGTGCAGTGGCATGATCTTGTCACTGCAACCTCCACCTCCCAGGTTCAAGCCATTCTCCTGCCTCAGCCTCCCAAGTAGCTGGGACTGCAGGCGTGTACTCCTACACCTGGCTAATTTTTGTGTTTTTAGTAGAGATGGGGTTTCACCATGTTAGATAAGCTGGTCTTGAACACCTGACCTCAGGTAATTCACCCACCTCAGCCTCCCAAAGTGCTGGGATTACAGGCGTCAGCTACCATGCCCAGCCAAGAGTGCTCCTTTTTAAAAATCTGACTGTAGTGTGTTATATGCAGCTGTTTATATGAATGAGATAAATTTATATACTGACATACAAAGCCATGAAAATTGGTTAAGTAAAAACAAAAACAAAGGCAAAACAGACATAAAACCAAGATGTATTTACTAAATGATCCTATTTTAAAAAAATGAGGTCAGGTGAGGTGGCTCACACCTTTAATCCCAGCACTTCAGGGTGCTGAGGCAGGCAGATCACCTTAGGTCAGGAGTTCAAGACCAGCCCTCGTCAAGGTGGTGAAACCCCATCTCTACTAAAAAAACAATGATTAGCTGGATGTGGTGGTGCATGCCTGTAGTCCTAGCTAACTGGGAAGCTGAGGCAGAAGAATTGCTTGAACTTAGGAGGTAGAGGTTGCAGTCAGCCAAGTTCATGCTATTGCACTCCAGCCTGGGTGACATTCCATCTCAAAAATAAATAAATACATAATATTAATAATGAGATCCAACAATCCCACTACTGAGCATTCATCCAAAGGAAAATAAATCAGCATATGAAGGGATATCTGTACCCCATGTTTTATTCCCAATAACCAAGATATGGAATCAGCCTAAGTGTCCAGCAACTGATGAAACTGATAAAGAAAATGTGGTATAGATACAATGGAATACTAAAAAAAAATACTAAAAAAGAATAAATCCTGTCATTTGCAGCAACACAGGTGAGCCTGGAGGATATCACATTAAGTTAAACTGGTCAGGTGCAGAAAGATAAATATTGCATGTTCTCACTCATATGTGGGAGCTAAAAAGTTGAGTCACAGAAGTAGAGAGTGTAACTGTGGTTATGAGAAACTAAAAAGGGAATAGCAGTAGGGAAGGGGAGAGAGAGCTTGGTTAACAGACACAAAATCACAGCTACGTAGGAGAAATTACTTCTAGTTTTCTATTGCACTGTAGGGTAAATACAGTTAACAATAATTTACTATATATTTTCTAAAAGCTAGAAGAGAGGATTGCTTTTCCTTACTTGAAAAAATTATGTTTTTTTAAAGAAAAGTTTTAACATAATAAACAGATTTTTATACACAATTTTATTCACCATTTCTTTATACCAATTCAATCCAGGTTTATTTACTTATTTACAAACGACAGAAAAAAATCTGGGTTGGGCACAGTGGCTGTAAGACCAGCACTTAGGATGGATCACTAGAGCCCATTAGTTGGAGACCACCTGGGCAACAAAGCAAGACTCTATCTCTTTTATAAGAAAATAGAAAAATTAAAAAAAGAATTTCCACTTAGGATCTTGAAAGTCAAAATAAATGGAAAGTATCTAGGATAGATTGACAAAAGAAAGAAGTGACAACAAAATGATGATCAATTTGATGAAGAAAGAAACGACAATCTTAGGCCGGGCACAGTGGTCCACGCCTGTAATCCCAGCACTTTGGGAAGCTGAGGTGGGCAGATCACAAGATCAAGAGCTCGAGACCAGCCTGGCCAACATAGTGAAACCCCCCCTGTACTAAAAGTACAAAAAATTAGCTGGGCGTGGTGACAGGCATCTCAATCCCAGCTATTTGGGAGGCTGAGGCAGGATAATCACTTGAACCTGGGAGGCAGAGGTTGCGTTGCAGTGAGCTGAGATTGCGCCATTGCACTCTAGCCCAGGTGACAGTGCAAGACTGTCTCAAAAAAAAAAAAAAAAAAAAAAGAAAGAAACCATAATCTTCATACACCAAAAACCAAAAACAAAACAGATTTGTAGTAAGAGAGGTGGCGACTTATAAAGGAATCTTGAGACAAACAATACGTCACCAATGCTGTAGTTACAAAAAACAAGAACAGATCTGCCAAGCATTTTTCTTTGAAACAAAATCTGAAAATCATAAAGATATTTATTTAGCCCACAGGAAAAATGTTATTTCTCAATGTTATGTAATAAAAAATTTTATAATTAAAATATAACACTGCTCTCTTCTTCAAAGAAAAGTTGGACTGGCCAGGCACAGTGGCTCATGCCTGTAATCACAGCACTCTGGGAGGCCGAGGTAGCTAGATTACCTGAAGTTAGGAGTTCAAGACCAGCCTGGCCAACATGGTAAAACTCTGTCTCTAGTAAAAATACAAAAATTAGCCTGGCGTGGTGGCACATGCCTATAATTCCAGCTACTCAGAAGGCTGAGGCAGGAGAATCTCTTGAACCCAGGAGGCAGAGGTTGCAGTGAGCTGAGATTGTGCTACTGTATTCCAGCTTGGGTGACAGAGCAAGACTCTGTCTCAAGAAAAAAAAAGAAAGAAAAGAAGAGAACAGTTGGATGACTGTTCTGAATGACTTAAAAGCTACCTGCCTACCAGTCAAAGGGTACCCTGAAACTCTCTGGAAGCATCCTGCATTTCTGTAACTTGCAGCAGCGAGTATCACATACACAACTGTCCAAGAAAGAGAGGATTTTGAATGTTCCCAGTATAGACAAAAGATGAATGTTTGAGATGATATGCTAATTACCCTGATCATTGCATACTGTATATATGCATTGAAACATTACTCTGCATCCCATAAACTTGTATAATTATAATGTGTCTACTAATATGATGTTAGTTCATGTACAGAAAGAAGGTGAAATATACATGAAAAGTTTAAATAATAAACAATGGGTATAGAAAATGGGATTTTGGAGAAACTTCTCTTTCTATGTCATGTATTTCTATAATGTATGAATTTAGTATGACTGTACGTAGATTATTTTATTTATGTTTTAATTTTTGTTGAGAAGGAGTCTGGCTCTGTTGCCCAGGTTGGAGTGCAGTGGTGCGATCTTGGTTCACTACAATCTCCACCTCCTGGGTTCAAGTGATCCTCCTGCCTCAGCCTCCTGAGTAGCTGGGATTACAGGTGCCCACCACCATGGCAGGCTAATTTTTGTATTCACATTGCTTATAATCAGAACTGAGGTTTAAATACATAGTTTTCCATTTTAGTAACAAAAATGATTCTAGATAATGTTCCTTAATAGCCAGGCATTATAATTTTTAATTGGAGTAAAAATAATAATAAATATGAATTACTTACTGAATGCCTGCTACATACCAGATGCCTTATGTTTCAACTTAACCATACCACTATAAGGTAGGTTTTATTATGTTTGATTCATAAATGAAGAAACTTGCACCTCAAGGTTCAGGGAGGCTAAGTAATTTTAAAAAGATCACAATGAAGGACACAACTGAACCTCAAAGTTTAGTATTCCAAAAATTTCTCACTTTTTACAATGTCATATTGTTTTCTATATTTCTTATAAAACAGTATGGCATAACAAAGTTTCAGGGTATATGCTAATAAACAATTTTTGGAAAAAAAAAATCACAACTGTTTATTTTTTTCCTAATTTTTTTGAGACAGGGTCTTTGTTACCCAGGTTGGAATGCAGTAGCACAATCACAGGTCACTGCAACATGGACCTCCCAGGCTCAAGTGATCCTCCCACTTCAGCCTCCCAAGTAGCTAGGACCACAGGCACGTCCCACCACACCTGGTGAAATTTTTTTCTTTTTCTTTTTTTTTTTTTTAGATAGAGTTTCAACCTCCGCCTCCCAGGTTCAAGCAATTCTCCTCCCTCAGCCTCCCAAGTAGGTGGGATTACAGGCATGCACCATTACGATCGGCTAATTTTGTATTTTTAGTAGAGATGACGTTTCCCCATGTTGGTCAGGCTGGTCTTGAACTTCTGACCTCAGGTGACCACATGCCTCAGCCTCCCAAAGTGCTGGGATTACAGGCATGAGCCACTGGACTTGGGCACCTGGCTAATTTTTATTTTATTTTATTTTACTTTTTGAGACAGAGTTTCATTCTTGTTACCCAGGCTGGAGTGCAATGCGCGATCTCCGCTCACCGCAACCTCCGCCTCCTGGGTTCAGGCAATTCTCCTGCCCCAGCCTCCTGAGTAGCTGGGATTACAGGCACGCGCCACCATGCCCAGCTAATTTTTTGTATTTTTAGTAGAGACGGGGTTTCACCATGTTGACCAGGATGGTCTCGATCTTTTGACCTCATGATCCACCCGCCTGGGCCTCCCAAAGTGCTGGGATTACAGGCTTGAGCCACTGCGCCCAGCCATTAACCATTATTTTTAAGCAACCTTATTTGACTGTTGTTTTTTTCTGATTTTCACTATCTATATTTACCTGTCTTTCCTATTCATTAAAACAACTTTTCTGGCTGGTTTTCTCATTACTGAATTAAAGGATATGTTTTACTTATTTAAAACAATTCTGAAACTAGGATTAGAAAAAAGCTTCACAAATATGATAAAGATTTTCTACCAGCAAGCCTACAGCAAACTTCATAATGGCAAATTATTATTAAAAGCTCCATTTACTCAAATATTAGAAACAAGTCAAGAATATATGTTATCATCACTTCTATTTAGCATTATGCCAGAGTCCTAAATAATAAGACAAAGACAAGACAAAAGGCTTAAAAAGAGGAAAAAAAAGATTATTATTCAGAGGACATAATTGTGTGTACAGAAAATTCAAAAGCATCTACTCACAAGTATTAGAATAGAGAAATTCAGCAAGACAGCTGAACAGAAAGGTCAATACATCAAAATCTATTTAATTTCTCTATATTAATAACAAATAGAAAATGAAAACTTCCAAAAGAATTCTATTTAAAATAATTTCAAAAAACATTGGTTATCTAGGAATAAATTTCACGATAAGATACACAAGATACTGAAGTGTGAAGTATAAAGAAAATTCAAATAAATGAAGGGGGTATATCATGTTCATAGAGACTTGATATTAGAAAGATGTCACCTCTCACCATATTGATCTAAAGCAAAACTGTCTAGGCTGAGCATGGTGGCTCACGCCTGTAATCCCAGTACTTTGGGAAGCTGAGGTAGAAGGATAACCTGAGGTCAGCAGTTTGAGACCAGCTTGACCAATATGGTGAAATGCCGTCTCTAATAAAAATACAAAAATTATGGCTGGGCATGGTGGCACGCGCCTGTAATCTCAGGTACTCGGGAGGCTGAGGCAGGAGAATCACCTGAACCCAGGGGGTGGAGGTTGCAGTGAGCTGAGATTGCGCCACTGCACTCGGGTCTGGGCAACAGAGTAAGACTCCAACTCAAAAACAAACAAACAAAAAAAACAAAAATCAGCCAGGAGTGGGTGGTGGTGTGCACATGTAGTCTGAGCTACTCAGAAGGCTGAGACATGAGAATTGCTTGAACCTAAGAGGCAGAGGTTGCAGTAAGCCAAAATCACGCGACTGCACTCCAGCCTGAGCAAGAAAATGAGACTCCGTCCCCTCCAAAAAAATAAATAAATAAAAATAAAGCAACACTGTCTAATAGAAATATAACGAGATCCACATATACAATTAAAACATTTTTAGTGGCTGGGCGTGGTGGCTCATGCCTGTAATCACAGCACTTTGGGAGGCCAAGGCGGGCAGATCACAAGGTCAAGAGATCAACCATCCTGGCCAACATGGTGAAACCCCATCTCTACTAAAAATACAAAAGTTAGCTGGACGCGGTGGCGCATGCCTGTAGTCCCAGCTACTTAGGAGGCTGAGGCAGGAGAATTGCTTGAACCCAGGAGGCGGAGGTTGCAGTGAGCCAAGATTGCACCACTGTACTCCAGCCTGACACCTGGTGACAGAGTGAGACTCTGTCTCAAAAAAAAAAAAAAAAAAAAAAAAACCTTCAATCAAAAGAACATTTTTAGTGGCCACATTAAAAACAAAAACAGGTAAAATTAATTTTAATCATTTTATTTAATCCAATCTATAAAAAATACTACTGAATTTTATATTTTTGGTATTAATCCTTGAATCCAAGTGAAATCAATTTTAATAATAATTTTATTTATTAATGAATGTTACATTTTTGGTATTAAATCCTTGAATCCAGTGTATATTTTATGATTCTAGTACATATAAACTTGAACTAGCCACATATTACATGTTCAATAGCCACATGTGGCTAGTGGCTACCATAATGGACAGCACAGATTTAGAGATCTGAAGTAATCCGAATCAAAACTGGAGCAGAGGTTTTTATGGAAATCAATATGCTGATTCTTGAAAGATAACAATACTAGAAAATATAAGCCAGGCACAGTGGCTCACACTTATAATCCTAGCACTTTGGGAGGCCGACCTGTGCTCAGGAGTTCGAGACCGGCCTGGGCAACACGGTGAAGCCCCATCTCAATTAAAATACAAAAAAATTAGCTGGGTGTGGCAGTGTATACCTGCAGTCTTAGCTACTTGGGAGGCCGAGGCAGGAGAATCGCTTGAATCTGGGAGGTGGAGGTTGCAGAGAGCTGAGATTGCGCCACTGCACTCCAACCTGCGCCACGGAGGGAGACTCTGTCTCCAAAAAAGAAAAAGAAAATATAACCACTACATATTGAGACTTATGATAAACATATTGAGACTTACGATAAAACTACACAAAGAGAATGTGGCATTGGTTTCAAGGATAGAAACAGACTGACGGAAAAGAATAGGGTCCAGAACATGTATGTGGTCACCTGATTATAATAAATCAGGGTACCAGGGAAAGCATGCTGATTTAATTAAATTGTGCTGGGTCAATGCCTTACAGGAAAAAAAAAAAAGATCTTGACTCCTAATACATTATGTTACATACATAAAAAATCAGTTCTAGATGGTTTGTAGAGCTAAATGATAATAAACCTTTTAGAAGAAAACAGGAAAAAAGCCAAACTGGACACACACACAGACACACTGATAAATGAGACTAAAAATGATATGCTTACTTCTTCTGGATGAAAAGTAGGAGGCAAGGTTGGTGAAGGTGCAAAAGGAGGTGGAGAGATAACCTTTCTTTCTTCTAGCTGGGCCATTATTTCCTTTCGTCGGCGATGTAGTTCATCTAGACTAGGATGAGGCTGGGGAGGAGGAGGAAGCCGGCTATAAGGAGGTTCCTAAAAACAGAAAGATTAGTTAAAATTGAAAGAGAATTTCAGGACAGATTAATTGGTTTAATATTCAGCATATATTGTTTAAGTTAAGAAGCAACTTGTATACCCTTCTTAACATTGGGAAATACCAAGACTTAATAGAACAATGGAAAACAAAACAAACAAAACCCCCCAAACGCTCAAGATCTTCCAAAGACCTAAATTTAGGTTTCTTTTATTTAGTCATAATTTTCAAGTAGATCTAGAATTGTTAATTAAACCATCTGAAGTTCAGAAACTAGAATGGTTAGTTGTGGGGAAGGAGGCAGAATTTTTTCTCATTAATAGTTAAAAAAAATGCCCAAATTATGAAAATATAAAAAAAGAAGCTCTCATAAAAAAAGAAGGTATCAAAGGGTTACTGTCATTCCATAGAAAGGAATCACTGCAAGCAATAATCAAATTAAGTCTATGTAATAAGAAAAAAAATACAGCATACTCTGAGGTACGGAGCTCTGATCCGAGTTGGATGAGGAGCCACTGGATAGTAACTCTCGATCTGTTGGTATCTTTCTCTGGATTCTGGTACATAGGATGGTACTGCTGCAGGTGGAATCTCAATGGGTATAGGGCTTTCTCGGAATATCTCTTCTCTTGTGTAAGACTGAGCAGGGTACACTTGACGGCCATCATAGTGAGATGGGTATATAGGTGGGTACTGCTGTGGCTGTGTGCCATACTGAGAGTTTACAACACGATCTTGGAGGTAAGGTTGATAATGATCCAAGTAGGGAGGAGCAGGTTCAGGAGCAGATGGTGGAGGTCTGACAAAGCGGGACACACATTGTGGTGGTGGTGTATAATACATACCTATACAATATAATAGAAGAACCAAAGGCACTAATGAGCCAATCTAGTTTTCTATATAAGACTTTACCTTTTAAAATACTGAAACACTAAAGTATTGATAATCTGCTTATTTCTTTAGAAGTTTTCCCTCTGCTTATATCATCAGTTTTCCCTCTGCTTATATAACTTTAAAAAAAAATAACAAGCAAAATTACCTGTAAAAGTCATTGAAAAAAGGACCCTACTTATAATCTGTAATAGTAGATTGGCTTTCATTGTTTGACCCTCTTTCTGGTATGTCTTAATGCAATGAAGACACTGGAAAACAAAAAACTACATCTCCCAGATATCCTTGAAGTCAGGTTCTACAAATCAACCAGTTGCATGAGTTTTTAATTTGAAACTGAAATAACTGGAAGGAGACAAGGAGATTAGTAGTTACTGCTTCGATCTAGAGTTCTTGAGACAACAGTTGTGGCAATAGTTTCTCAATTTTCGGACTTTTGCCTCAAATGATGTGATCTTGGAATTAAGTAGTGAGGACAGGAAGTTTCTATTTCTACCGCTTCCTCATTGTAACAAGTTCTCTTGCAGCTAGCTCTGGAGCGTTGTTTGCTTCTCTAGGACCTCCACCAATATGGCCGGCACCTAACTCCTGCACTAAATCTCTTTCTGCTTAATATAGCTCAAATAATTCACCTAAAAGTGAAACCAGGCTACAAAAATGGTTGCATTTTTCCTATAATGGATAGTCAAAAGGAAGACACAAATCACATTTCATCATATTTTGCATGAATTAGGATTGCCATATTAATTAAAAACTATTCTTATGAATGTAGAGAAGACAACATGATTCAAAATTAAGACTTGGAAAAAGAAAAGAGGGCACTTTTAATCTATTCCCCTTTTAAAAATTATAGTATCATACTGCTTCTGACAGAGAGATCCAAGACTTACAATCATTCAGTATTTTACACATAAACTGTATATGTAAGACAGTTTATCTTCTTTCCTTCATTCTCCATACCTGGTATTATCATTGAAGCTGGCTAATTTTCAAATTTGTCTATTTTCTAAGTCCCGTCTTCTCCTTTCCCACCACACTAATTCCTCAATTCTCATACCAGGATTAACAGTCTCCTAACTCAACTCTGATCTTTAATGCGTTCATAATTTTTCTTTCTATTCCAAATACCTCTATTTGGGGCATTTCTTCCACTAAGTCTTTTTGATTCCTCAAGTTCTCAGTTATCTTCCTTGAGTCTTTCAGTCTATTTCTACCAAGCTAATATTAACCACCACAACAGATCACTTAATTTTTAACACATGTATAACCACACACATGCATATATACTACTCATGCATAGAAATAGTTTTCTATTCTTCACCATTATTTATTCTAGTCTGTAAATTCTCTAAAGGTATGTATGCTGCATTTTTTCATATATATTATAGGGTCCAGAAAAATAATAATTAAAAGGAAGGAAAATGCACTATGGTGTTTAATTTACAAACACTATAACATTAATTCTGGGCCAGGCATGGTGGCTCACACCTGTAATCCTGGCACTTTGGAAGGCCAAGGCAGGCAGATTACCTAAGGCCAGAAGTTTGAGACCAGCCTGGCTACCATGGTGAAACGCCGTTTCTACTAAAAATACAAAAATTAGCTGGGCATGTAATCCCAGCTACCTAGGAGGCTGAGGCAGGAGAATCACTGGAACCTAGGAGGCAAAGGCTGCAGTGAGCTGAGATCATGCCACTATACGCCAGCACTCCAGCTTGAGCAACAGAGCAAGAATCTGCTTAAAAAAAAAAAAGTGTGTGTGTGTATGTGTATGTATGTGTATATATATATATACATAGTTATTTTTAATGCTTGAAGAAAATTTTAGGAGAATATATACTGCCCTACTCAGCAAATTTCCATTGCCTACTTGTGTGAATTGTTATTTCCATAAATATTATATATGAATATGTTTATTATGCAACTGTTTTTAGTAGATAAGGCAGTTTGATTTTTATTGCTTTGCTTCATTTATTTCATAATATTTAGTTGATCATAAAATCTCAATTTTTCCTAAGTATTATTACTTAAGAGGCTACTGTGTAAAATATCACTCTGATCTGAACAGTTCTCATGACTCCTAAAAAAAGTGAGCAATATAAATGAAAAATAGTTACCCTGCTGATAAGGTGCTGGTTCAAATGGTGGAGCCGCTCCTCGAGGATCCTGATAATAAACATCTGTCTGTTGTGCTGGATATAACTGCGAGCCTCGAGGTACCATCTGAAGTGGTTTGGTGACAGGCATTGGAGGCAGATCTGTTGGCCCCCTTGGAGGTATAGGATGTGGATTCACAGGTAAGGCAGAAATATTCTTAGGGACAGATTCTAGCCTAAGGGAATAAGATTATGGAAGTTGTTTAAGGTCTTTAAAAGTCTCATGTGCATAAAATGTTACAAGTAAAAAAGATTGCTACAATTCGGGAAACTCAATTATTCTAATACTCATCCCTTCTACAAAATTTGCAGATTTTTATCTTATTTCCCCTATGCTAATTATTTCTCTCTTTGTTTCCCCCCTTTTTGAGGCAGACTCTCCTCTGTTGCCCAGGATGGAGTACAATGATGCGATCTCAGCTCACTAAAACCTCCACTTCCTGGGTTCAAGCAATTCTCATTCCTCAGCCTCCTGAGTAGCTGGGATTACAAGCATATGCCACCATGCCCAGCTAATTTTTGTATTTTTAGTAGAAATGGGTTTCACCATGTTGGCCAGGCTGGTCTCGAACTCCTAGCCTCAAGTGATCCATCCACCTTGGCCTCCCAAAGTGCTGGGATTACAGGCGTGAGCCACCATATCTAGCCGTGCTAATTCTTTCTTAAAACACACTAGCATGAAAAATAGAAGTAAAAAACAACAAAATAAAGGCAAAAAAAAAAATCAGTTTTTTTTTTTTTTTTTTTTTGAGACGGAGTTTCGCTCTTGTTACCCAGGCTGGAGTGCAATGGCGCGATCTCGGCTCACCGCAACCTCCGCCTCCTGGGTTCAGGCAATTCTCCTGCCTCAGCCTCCTGAGTAGCTGGGATTACAGGCACGTGCCACCATGCCCAGCTAATTTTTTGTATTTTTAGTAGAGACGGGGTTTCACCATGTTGACCAGGATGGTCTCGATCTCTCGACCTCGTGATCCACCCGCCTCGGCCTCCCAAAGTGCTGGGATTACAGGCTTGAGCCACCGCGCCCGGCTAAAAATCAGTTTTTGAAACAAAAATCCCAAACATTATTTTCTTTCTTCCTTTGACTTTATAAAAAATAAATTTTGAAGTAAGAGTTAGGAAAAATGACGTACAGGTCAGGAGGAGATCCAGGAGCACTACTGCTCAGATGATCTATTTTTCCTGGTTTCAGACTAGAATCATAGCTGGGGTCTGTCCCTCGTGGAATAAGCTGTGTTACTGTATTCCCTGCTGATACAATTCCATTTGGCAGAGCAGGAGGTTTTCTGTTAGGGAGATCCACTGCACCTTCATCTGGAAGGATAGTTGCTGAAGGCAGGCCCACCTCATTAAGTTGACCCAAAGAGGCACTCAAGGGTCTTCTCGGAACCAGGCGCTTGTTCATTTTGCGAAATCTATATAAAAAGCATAGGCACATATCAAAAAGCAAATATAAAAAGCAAAACCAAGAACTAAAATGTACTTAAGAACATTATTTTCTAGAGATATTCTCTCTTGAAACATTAACTCTTTATCAACCTGAGAACTCAGTGTATGTATTTTCCATAAAATCTCAAGCGGCAAGACATACTGAGTAAGTACAAAATTCCTCATGAAAATGTGTAAAATAGGCCGGGTGCGGTGGCTCACACCTGTAATCCCAGCACTTGGGGAGATTGAGGTGGGAGGATCATGAGGTCAAGAGATTGAGACCATCCTGGCCAACATGGAGAAATCCCACCTCTACTAAAAATGCAAAAATTAGGTGGGCATGGTGGCGTGTGCCTGTAATCCTAGCCACTTGGGAGGCCGAGGCAGGAGAATTGCTTGAACTGGGAGGTAGAGGTTGCAGTGAGCCGAGATTGCTCCACTGCACTCCAGCCTGGCGGCAAAGTGAGAATCTAGTTCAAGCAAAAACGTGTAACATTTGTAACATTATAAATTATGCAATTAATATCTTTGCTATAATATACTTCTGTAGAAATTTGCATTTCAAAAAGTTATTGGAGAAGCTAGTAGAAAAATCTTCAGAAGACAGTTTCTGAAGTATTTTACTTTAACTCGCCCTCAAATGTCCTGGGGTACAATGAGCCAATGTTAAAAATTAAGAATAAAAGAAAAACGAAGCCAGTATGCACTGTGAAACATTTATCATTTACTTTGTTAAAAAATGTAAGCAGCTAGGCATGGTGGCTCACATATCAGCACTCTGGGAGACTGAGGCAGGCAAATCATTTGAGCTCAGGAGTTTGAGACCAGCCTGAGCAAGATGGTGAAACCCTATCTTTACCAAAAATATAAAAACTTATCCGGGTGTGGTGGTACATGCCTGTGGTCCCAGCTACTCAGGAGGCTGAGGTGGGAGGATCACTTGAGCCCAAGAGGTAAAGGTGAGCCAAGACTGCACCAATGCACTCCAGCCTGGGCAGCAGGCAATTAAGGACAGTGACTTTTATTAGAACTGCTTCAGAGATACTGATGTTATGTGTGCCAATACAAAATTAAAGTTCTTTTAAAAGTAGGTTAATAGAAAAAACAGAATAATTTCCTAAGTTTAAATAGATGTGTGATACAATAAGCACATCAATTCTGAAATCTAAACAAAGAAAAAAATATTAAGCCATCAGAGTCTAGGATCTTTGTTCCTCAACAATGAAAGCAATCCCAATTACAACTGCTAATGCATTTTATTTTCAAATAAAACACCGGCAGGGTGTGGTGGCTCACACCTGTAATCCCAGCACTTTGGGAGGCCAAGGTGGGCAGATCCCTAAGATCAAGAGTTGAGACCAGCCTGACCAATATGGTAAAACCCCATCTCTACTAAAAATACAAAAATTAGCCAGGCGTGGCAGTGGGTGCCTATAGACCCAGCTACTCGAGAGGCTGAGACAGAAGATTTGCGTGAACCCAGGAGGCGGAGGTTGCAGTGAGCTGAGATCGAGCCACTACACTCTGGCCTAGGCGACAAAGCAAGACTCTGTCTCAAAAAAAAAAAAAAAAAAAAAAAAAAAAAAATATATATATATATATATATATATGATTAAAAAATAAATAAATAAATGTAAAAATAAATAAATAAATAAAACCCCATCAGAGTGATGCTGTTTTTCCACATTTCCCACAACTGACAAATTTCTGGTGGTGGAGGTTGGTAGGGAAGAAAACTATCCTTCAGGGATAATTATTTTTGAGAGTTTGGTATATCGTTATGGAACACTGTTCTTTTAGACATTAGCTTTATATTCACATAAGATTATTATTTGCAGGAGTACAGTCATATATTACTGCTTCCCAGGTAGTCTCCCATCCAAGTACTAACTGAGCCTGACCATGCTTAGCTTCCAAGATCAGATGAGCTCAGGTGCATGCAGGGTGTTACACTCATAGACATGGCATCTATTTTAATGTATTATTGAAATATATTTAAATTTTTGAGATTTTTAATATTAATACGTGCAACAGATTTGCAGTTTTAATTTTGTTATCTTTGTTAAACTTAATGGCAATGTTACATTGGATTTATAAACAAATCAAGTTTGTATGTGAGTGTGGTGGCTTCTGCCTGTAATCCTAGCACTTTAGGAGGCCAAGGCAGGAGGCTCTCTTGAGCCCAGGAGTTTGAGACCAGAAGTATTTCAAATTTTGTATTTGTCTTGGATTTTGGGATATTTGCATATGCATAAGGAGATGTCTTGGGGATAGGACCCAAATATATAACAGGAAATTTATGTTTCATAGATATCTTTTACACATAGTCTGAAGTAATTTTATACATTATTTTAAATAATTTTGTTCATGAAGTTTTTACTGCTATCTGTCACAAAGTCAGGTGTGGAATTTTTGACTTGTGGTCTCAAGTCAGCTTTCAAGCACTTTTGGATTTTGGAGCATTTCAGAATTTCAGAAGAGGAATGACCAAGCTATGTTACATACTAAAAGTTTCCCATGTGTTAAAGATAAAGCACCTACCCTTTCTGTAATTCTCTATGTCAGTAAATTATTCTACTTAGATCTTATTCCGAAGTCTCCTGTCTTTCACACTTACTTTTCCAGTTCCTCCTGTGAGTGTGCAAACGTACAGCTGGCCCCACGAGGGCATCCTCCTCTCTGCTTCATATCTCGACACATGTATGTTTTGTATTTGCTATGCTGTGGAGGCTAAAATCAAAATCAAAACATTAGATGTGTAATAACCCCTCATAAAAAACATACATTTTGTGTTGTCATTTTAAGATCTTGATAATCTAAATAAGTAATTTACATGCTTAGTTAGATAACCAAGAGCAAAAGTGCTGGAAAGTCTGAAGTCTCAGAGAGTTCAAATATATATAAAGCAAAAAGAAAGCAGGTAGTCCTAGTTTTTCTGAAATGTTACTAATTCTCAAACGTTTAAGTAGCATTATATAAATTCTTGAATAAATCTCATGGGCATTCTTTGTTTTATATGGAAAAAAAAATTTCATGAGGGCAATATGATCTCATTTCCACATTTTTTTTTTTTTTTTTTTTTTTTTTGAGGCTGAGTTGCCCAGCCTGGAGTGCAGTGGTGTGATCTTGGCTCACTGCAACCTCTGCCTCCCAGGCTCAAGCAACTCTCCTGCCTCAGCCTCCCGAGTAGCTGATTTTTGTATTTTTAGTAGAGACAGGGTTTCACCATGTTGGCCAGGCTGGTCTTGAGTTCCTGACCTCAAGTGATCCACCCACCTAAACCTCCCAAAGTGCTGGGATGACAGGCATGAGCCACCATGCCTGACCTATTTACACATTTTATAATGAAAAAAAAAACCACTGTAGTTTAAGACTTTCAAACATATAAATTATCTTCCAATATTTGTTCTGTACCATGTTCAATATAGCTGTATGTATGTCTCCTTACAACACACCACAAAAACTACAAAAGGCCCTATTACCAAACAATATTCTGTAACCAAATATTCTGTAACTAAGTCTTGAATAATATACTAAGGACTTAAAATATCTCCAAAAGTACAAATAAGACTTACTATTTACAACTCGAGGATAAGGCAAGAGGATGGAATTGAAAGTTAATGAAATATGAGACACAACACTAAACTGGACAAAATTTAGTTTATTTTATCACCATATGGCAAACTTTAAAGGTTAGTCTTGTTACTTTTGTTATTTTCTTCAAGATGTCAACTGAAACAGAGAGTTAAAAATTCTAGGTTCTCCTTTCTTTTATGCCTAATCATAAAGCTTTGACCTGTGTTTAGATAGGTTAGGAAAAATCATACTCAGATTATTTTACTTAGCAGGACGCTTTTTATATTTCTTGCCTCCTAAGCAAAAAGGAATACTGAAAAATCTATTAATATTTACCTGAGACAGGTAAATTAAGAGTTTTAAGTTCACAGGCTCACTACTGCAAAATAAAAGATCTAATAAACCTAATATAAATCCTGAGGGCAAAATATAATTACTGGGAATAAAATGTAAAACTCCAGCTATGTTATTATATTCTACTGTTGTATTTCATTTAAAAACTTTAAGGAAAATTTGGCCCATTGGCATACGAAACATTATGAATGAAAAAAATCTTAAGGTATTAATATAAGAAAATCTATAGAAACTTGAATAGTATTGGAAAGATACAGTATCAGCACTAAAAAGTGACACTTATTGTCAAACCAAAATGTAAAACAAACTAAAGAGAATAATAATCTTACATAAATGGAACAAACTTCAGCACTGATTATTTTCTCCATCAAATGTTGCCATATCCAATGTGAAGACTGACTCCAGCACAACATCAGATCAATAAGGATTATTTAATGTCAGTATTATCAGATAAAATCACCAGGCCGATGCAGTAAACTGTTAACCATGCCAAGGTAATTTATAGTTTCTACAGTCGGAGTCTCAAAATGTTCATGTCCTCTTTCTGGCTTTGTATCTGTAGGTACACCTACAGCGGTTTACCTATAATTTTAAGCCCCATTCACAGTAGGTTAGCTCTGAGTTTTAAACAGCTTCCATACCTGCTGCTGATCTGCTCCTTTTTTGCTGTGGTTCTGGATGTAATCAACCAGTCCATGTACCACTGTACGCACAGCAACCAGCCCATTTTCCAGCTGCTCCCATGTAGGAGGAGGAGCATCTATACAACCAATAATAAATAATGTTTTAAACTAAGTTGCTCAATATTTTCCCCAATATCAATAATAAAAGAGTTAGTGGACAACATTTCAGTGAAATCAAGTTAAGCTTTACACCTTAGTGTTTTAGGTAACAGCTTGTTCACCTGACCATCATTTCCCAGTTTTAAAATGTAGGCATCTAACCAATATAGAACATTGCTCAGACCATCACTGTGTGGACCAAACAAATCTGAGGACTGCCTATAGTTAGTCAATTTGCATGTTTATTTTGAAGGTTTATATAAATCGAGTTTTGGTAAACAAAAAGCTTAAAACGTTTAATAGAGGAGCTATTATATAAAGCAACTCTGCTACATGTCTTCATCTAGTAGATATTTGCTCAGTGCCAGCACTATGATTTTATAAAGAAAAAATTATCTGTAAGGCAAAATATAAAATAATCTTTTTTTTTTTTTTTTTTGAGATGTAGTTTCACTCTTGTTACGCAGGCTGGAGTGCAATGGCTCGATCTCGGCTCACCGCAACCTCCACTTCCTGGGTTCAGGCAATTCTCCTGCCTCAGCCTCCTGAGTAGCTGGGATTACAGGCACACGCCACCATGCCCAGCTAATTTTTTGTATTTTTAGTAGAGATGGGGTTTCACCATGTGGATCAGGATGGTCTTAATCTCTTGACCTCGTGATCCACCCGCCCTGGCCTCCCAAAGTGCTAGGATTACAGGTGAGCCACCATGCCCAGCCCAATATGAAATATTCTTTAAAAGGAACATATAAAATGAAATAAGAAGAGAGATGTAGAGATAACTTCCTGCACAGACACCCTGAAAGGATTCTAGGTGATGGCATTTGAACTGGGCTTTGAAGGACACACAGAATCTGAAAAGGAAAAAAGGTGAACAGAACAACTATTCAAAAAAGTAGTTTTTGGAACATTTACTAAATCTGAGTTATTGTTTTAGTGGTTGGGGAAGCAATAGCAATTAAAACAAAAATCCCCATACATTCAAGGAGAAGAGCCACAGAATAACCAAGACAAGTGAACTACAGAGTAGTATTTAGAAAATGATAAATTGAAAAAGTAGAGCTAAGAAGAGAAGTGGGGCCAAAGTGTAAAATTGTAGAGAGAGGCCAGAAAAGTCCTCCTTGAGAAGGTTACATTTGATTAATGACCTGAAAGAAGGGTTTAAGAGTGCCTACTGGAGATATTAGGGGAGAAACATCCAAGTTAGAGGGAAGAGTAAGTGCAAAGTCCTTGATGTGAGAAGTGTGCCTGGCATGTTGCATGGAAGTGGAACCAGAGAGGAGAGAATTAAATGAAAAAAGAGTAGGAAATGAGGCTGGAGAGGTAATGGAAGACCAGACCACATGAGGCCCTGTAGATCACAGGAAAGATTTTGGCTTTTACTCTGAGTGCTAGAAAGCCACTGGAGGATTTATGAGAGGAGAGTGATAGGATTATTCTGGCTCTTGTTAAAATCAGACAGACAATAGGAGGCTATTCCATAATCCATGGAGAGATGGGGATGGTAGCAGTGAAGGCAGATGGATTCTGGATGGATTTTAAAGGTAAGGCCTACAGCATTTGCTAATGGATCAGATATGTATTATGAGAAAAAAGAAGAGTTGAGGTTTTTGGACTAAACAACAGGAAGGATAGAGTTGCCACAAACAGGATGACAGGGAAGAGATCATTTCTGGATAGATTCAGTTTGAAATGCTTATCAGATATTCAAGTAGAGATGATGGATGCTGAGAAAGTTTTTTTTTTTTTTTTTGAGATGGAGTTTCACTCTTGTTACCCAGGCTGGACTGCAATGGTGTGATCTCGGCTCACCGCAACCTCCACCTCCTGGGTTCAGGCAATTCTCCTGCCTCAGCCTCCTGAGTAGCTGGGATTACAGGCATGAGCCACCATGCCCAGCTAATTTTTTGTATTTTTAGTAGAGATGGGGTTTCACCATGTTGACCAGGATGTTCTCGATCTCTTGACCTCGTGATCCACCCGCCTTGGCCTCCCAAAGTGCTGGGATTACAGGCTTGAGCCACCGTGCCCGGCCTGAGAAAGTTTTATAAACAAATTCAGGAAAAAGGCATGTGCTGGATATATATTTCAAACTCCAAAAACCTATCAACTGTAACACATATTTTATGTGCCACGAAAGAAAAAAAAGACTGTTAATTATGTCTTTGTACAAATGCATTCCAATTTCAGAAATGCTAAGATCTGAAACAATTAGAAACCTCAGAACTGATAAAATACAGTAAATTTGTGAGTCACATAAATTACATTTGAAAATATGAGACAGATAAGATTATCTAGGAAATAGGGACACACAGAAAACAGAAACGGTATAGGATTAAACTCTGAGAACACTCCAAAGATGATAAGATACGGAGGTGAGGAGAAAGCAGCGGATGCTGACAAAGAGTATCCAATAAAGTAATAAGGGGATTAGTAGACTAGAAACCAAGAAAAAAGCATTCAAGGAAGATAGAGTGAAGAACAATGTTGGCCAGGCACTGTGGCTCACACTTGTAATCCTGGCACTTTGGGAGGCTGAGGCAGGCAGATAACCTGAGGTCAGGAGTTCAAGACCAGCCTGGCCAACTTGGTGAAACCCCATCTCTACTAAAAATACAAAAATTAGCTGGGCGTGGTAGTGCATGCCTGTAATCCTAGCTACTCAGGACAAGAATTACTAGAAGCTGGGAAGCAGAGGTTGCAGTGAGCTGAGATCGTGCCACTGGACTCCAGCCTGGGAGACAGAGTAAAACTCTGTCTCAGAAAAAGAACAATGTTAAATGCTGCTAAATCAAGTACATTAAGAACTGAGAACTGACCTTTAGAATTAGCTACATGGAATTAATTTATGACCTTGATGAAATAAGTTTGCATAGAGCAGTAGAGATAAATGTCTGACTGGAGCTGAGTTCAAGAGAGTGCCATAAAAAGAAATGAAGTAGTAGGTAGATGAGAAGTGGGGTCAAAAATGGATTAGGAACTTGTGGAAGTACTCTTTTGACTGCTCAGGATGATCAAAGCACAGCAGTCGGGGGAAAAAAATCACTATATAGTCAAGTAACATTGATCTGGTTTATTATGCAATTTTGGGAGCAAATCTATAAAAGCAGGCTAATAAAAAACTAAGAGGGCTCTGAATGCCATAGTAAAGAATGTCAAACCTTATTCTATAAGCAATTCTATAAACACTGAAAATTTATGAGTGTGGAAGCAAGATCAGGGATGTGATTTATTTTCTAGCAGTAAGTAGACTGGATTGCAGGAACTCTTAAGAGGAATTTGGAAGACATTCAGTTTCAGGGAAAGGGAATGAGGCTCTCAAAGGAAGTAATTATAAGCAGGGGATATAGGGACATTGTGAAAGAAGAACAGATAAATCCTATTATACGAAACGGTATGTAGAGCAAGTGAAAGGAAAAGATGAGGCAAGACAAAATTAGGTTTTAAACTTGCATACTCAGATAATGAGATCATTATCAGAGAGAGGAAACATTAGAGGAAGAGCAGGTATCAAGTAATAATGAGCTTGCTTTGAAGCACTCAAAGAATCTCAGCAAGCATTGGGAGATGTATCTGGAGTGAAACAGAGATAACAGTGATAGAGATATTTAGCAGACTGTATTTTCTATGCAAGGGCAATATCTGATACTAAGAATAAATAACCACCATCAGAGCACACAGAGAAGACAAAATTCTAAGAGCATAACCTGGCTACTCTTTAGTGGGGAAGAAGGTAAAGCCTGGTACAAGTAACACAGAAGTAGCATTCAGGTCAGAAGAGAACTATGAGATCACAGAAAGTTATCAAAAAAGTGCTCAACAACATTATCAAATGCTAAAAACAAATGAGAGTTATTTAAAGACTAAGAAAAAGCTTTTGGAGTCAGAGACTGGGAATCCACTAGCAAATATTAAGATAGCTTCAGATCAGTAGTAGGCATAAACACAGAAAAGCTAAGATATCTTAGATGTAGGTATAAGGTGAAAAATGAAGGTTGGGTATATTTTCAGGTTAAGATGGAGCAGAAAAAACCTGAATAAATAAAGATATACAAGAGAGGATACTTCAAAGAACAAAATATCATGGAGAGGGCAAAGGAAATGCAATTAAGGATATATAATGCAGAAAAAAAATGAGAAAAATGAGATTTGGCAGAGGTAAGAATGGTAAAATACAAAACAATTTTGTGTTGGAAGAGGAAACATTAAGGGGCCCAGAGAGATCTACTGTCCTCATGAAATGAGCAACAGTGTAAAAAGCATTAAATAAATATTAAAGTGAACTAGGCTGGGTGCGGTGGCTCATGCCTGTAATCCCAGGACTTCTGGGGGCTGAGGTGGGTGGATCACCTGAGGTCGGGAGTTTGAGACCAGCCTGACCAACATGGAGAAATACTGCCTCTACTAAAAATACAAAATTAGCTTCCAATGCAAGACCCCAAAAATAAAAATAAAAATAAAAAATAGTACAAAATTAGCTGGGCATGGTGGCACATCCCTGTTATCCCAGCTATTTGGGACACTGAAGCAGGAGAATCACTTGAACCCGCGAGGCAGAGGTTGTGGTGAGCTGAGATAGCGCCATTGCACTCCAGCCTGGGCAATCAGAGTGAAATTCTGTCTCAAAAAATTAAATTAAATTAAATTAAATTTAAAAAGTAATAAAGTGAACTAACCTGAGATAAAGAGGGACAAGATTTAAAACGGAAACTTAAAATACTGTAAAAAAGATCTGGAGTAACTACTTTGGGAAACCCTAGAGGAATAACACAAGATAATCAAAGAATCATTTCACAGCACTAAAGGCACATATAAGATAGTCCATTAATTTCCTCTGGGTTTACCTGGACTAGGATCAATGTTTGCCAACAGCTCCAAATGGGGTCTTAGTCGGTTCAAGTTTGCTGGGTCTCCAGTCCGCTGGAGAGCAATTGTTAGTTCCTGAACACTCTGTGCAAAAGAGGCTGGGGTCTGCAACTTAAAAAAGATAAATGTTAACTTTCCCAAAGGCCAGATAATCATTTAAAGATAATTTATCTCACAATCATCTTTGCAATTTATTAAATTTAATTTTCATCTTCCCATACACCCTACACTTTGGCCAGACTAGATTACTTGCTACCCAAATAAATTCTGTACTTCTCTGCATCCACAGCTTGGCACACTGTATACTGTACTGCTTCTGCTGTCACATTCTTCAAATGTGAGCCCTCTCTCAATTCAGCCTCCCATCAATTAGATATATTAATGAGTCATCTTTGTGAATTGTTAATTCATGTTTCTCTCTCCTTTAATTGACTAGAATTAGTGCTTTTCTCATTATTTTTAATGAATACTCTTTTGCATTATCCAATACGGTAACCTTAGCAACACGTGGCTATTTAAATTTAAATTAATTAAATAAAATAAAAATTTCAGTTCATTGGTTGAACAAGTCACATTTCAAGTGCTTAAAAGCTATGTGTGACTAGTGATCACCGTATTGGACAGTGCATACACAGAACATTTTCATGGTCACAGAAAGTTTATTGCTCTATAAAATATCACACACACTGCAAAGTTTACCAGTTTGTTGTACAAAGGTCTCTGGATACTAAATTTAAAGCATTGCACATGATGCAAGAAAATTACTGTAGGATATACACCTAGTTATATAGTTCATTTCAGACAGGAAGATTAACACCTTGTAGAATCTTTATAAAAAGCAAGCCAAGTTTCTCTTCAGAAGTAGAAACGTAGTCCTTTAATAGATCATTACTAAGGGTTCCTGTAAATTATAATCAGTTTCAAAACTTCAGATACAAGCTCTTATCCAAGCCTAAGAGTTGCAGGTAAAGTCTAATTAAAGGTATCCAGGGAAGACTTACAAGGCAGAACAAACAATCTACATTGTAATTGAAAATTACGTACCACCTTTTTTTTTCCACTAAAGAGATAGGGTCTCACTCTGTTGCCCAGGTGCTAAGATAGCTCACTGTACCCTCAAACTCCTGAGCTCAAGGGATTCTCTTACCACAGCCTCTGGGACTACTGGCACCAGCCACCATACCTGGCTATTGTTTTTGTTTTCTTTGGTTTTTTGGTAGAGATGGTTATCCCAATCTTTCCCAGGCTATGCTTGAACTCCTGGCCTCAAGTAGTCCTGCCACCTTGGCCTCCCAAAGTGCTAGGATTACAGGCATGAGCCACTGTGCCCATCCTACACCAAGCATTTAAAAAACACGTTTCCCAATTCTCTTTTGACATCACTGTATTATTGCCCATTCAAGGAATTCTATCTTTAGGAATAGCAAAAAAAAAAAAAAAAAAAAAAAAAGGTGGGGGGAAATAGTTTGGATAGCTTGGTAAAAGGTTAGTGGTTAAGAACATGATTCTACAGTGAGAATGCCCAAGTTCAAATCCACTTCTGTCACTTATTATCTATGTGATGCTGGAAAAACATATTAACTTCCCTTTGTCTTTGTCTAAAATGGATAATACAAGGCTGTTGAAGGATTAAACGAGTTACTTAAAACCACTAGATACCATTTTAGTAAATGTTAATTATTTGTTTTTTAGTTTAATCTTACTATTTGACTCTATTTCCTTAAGTTAAATGTAGAGTGGTCTCTAGGGTTGGCAATCATCTCTGTGATTCTAGTATTTGAGATACAGTAGTAAAACTGCTGGTGCAGTGGCTCACATCTGTAATCCCAGCACTTTGGAAGTCCAAGGCGGGTAGATCATCTGAGGTCAGGAGTTTGAGACCAGCCTGGCCAACATGGTGAAACCCTTTATCAAAAATACAAAAATTGCCGGGCGCGGTGGCTCAAGCCTGTAATCCCAGCACTTTGGGAGGCTGAGGCGGGTGGATCACGAGGTCGAGAGATCGAGACCATCCTGGTCAACATGGTGAAACCCCGTCTCTACTAAAAATACAAAAAATTAGCTGGGCATGGTGGTGCGTGCCTGTAATCCCAGCTACTCAGGAGGCTGAGGCAGGAGAATTGCCTGAATCCAGGAGGCGGAGGTTGCGGTGAGCCGAAATCGCGCCATTGCACTCCAGCCTGGGTAACAAGAGCGAAACTCCGTCTCAAAAAACAAAAAAAAAAAAACAAAAACAAAAATTAGGGCTGGGCGCGGTGGCTCACGCCTGTAATCCCAACACTTTTGGAGGCCGAGGCGGGTGGATCACGAGGTCAAGAGATCGAGACCATCCTGGTCAACATGGTGAAACCCCGTCTCTACTAAAAATACAGAAAATTAGCTGGGCATGGTGGCACGTGCCTGTAATCCCAGCTACTCAGAAGGCTGAGGCAGGAGAATTGCCTGAACCCAGGAGGCGGAGGTTGTGGTGAGCCGAGATTGCGCCATTGCACTCCAGCCCGGGGAACAAGTGAAAACTCCGTCTCAAAGAAAACAAAAAACAAAAACCAAAAATTAACCTGGCATGATGGCAGATGCCTGTAATCCCAGCTACTCAAGAGGCCGAGACACGAGAACTGCTTGAACCTGGGAGACAGAGGTTGCAGCGAGCCAAGATCATGCCACCACACTCTAGCCTGGGTGACAAGAGTGAAACTCTGTCTCAAAAAGAAAAGGTACAATGGCAAAATTAAATAATACTATTATAGAACATACTATATATTATATGGTGTTTTAAGAGTTCTTTTCTTTTGCACTGTTGCCCAGCTGGAGTGCAGTGCCAGAGATCTTGGCTTACTGCAACCTCCGCCTCCTGGGTTCAAGTGATTCTCCTGCCTCAGCCTCCTGAGTAGCTGGGATTACAGGTGCCTGCCACCATACCCAACTAATTTTTGTATTTTTAGTAGAGACGGGGTTTCATCATGTTTTTAAAGCACTTTCATATATTTCATGTTGATTTACAATAAAAACAGTTACATTATTAATCTGATTTTAAGAGAAACATGGCTCTTAGAGTAAAGATACAAATAATGGAGCCTCAGCCAGGCGTGGTGGCTCACTCCTGTAATCCCAGCACTTTGGGAGGCTAATGCAGGGGGAATCAGAGCTCAGGAGTTTGAGACCAGCCTGGGCAACATGGTGAAACCCTGTCTCTACTAAAAATACAAAAAAATTAGCCGGGCGAGGTGGTACATGCCTCTAATCCCGGCTACTCAGGAGGATGAGGAAGGAGAATGCTTGAACCCAGGAGGCAAAGGTTGCAGTGAGCCAAGATCATACCATTGCATTCCAGCCTGGGTGACAGAGTATGAATGTCTCAAAAGAAAAAAAACAAGGCAAATAATGAAGCATAACCTAAAATTCACATCTATTCTAATGGCCTTTTCATCATAATAGACAACAGATAAATATGTGTACTGATAATTTGATCAAACTTAGAAAGGTAGTAACTGTATTATTCTGTATAATTATTCTGGAGAACCACAAGAAACCTCAATGTATAGATCTTCCAGACCATTAAATGTCTGCTATAAATAAAAGCATTTAGAAAATGGGTTTAACACAATGATCAAAACTCTAAGAGAACAATAAATGAAGGGAAAGGCAATGACAAAATAGAAATGGCGGACTCTCAAAGGAATGTGGGAAAGTATCAGATAAAGCATTATAAACCAATCTAGCCAGAGTGTGGTGGTACGTGCCAGTAGTCCCAGCTACTTGGTAGGCTGAGATAGAAGGATCAATTGAGCTCAGAGGATCGAGGCCACAGTAAGTCACAGTTGGGCCTGGGCCACAGAGTGACAGCCAGACTCAATATAAAATAAAATAAAAAATAAACTAATCAAATCTTTATATGAACAAAGTAGTACTGTAATCTGATTAGTTATGACATGACACTTGGCTATAAATACAATTTACAAAAGCTATACAGTATTCACTTTAACACACATTTGTTAAATGAATTACCAAATCACAGATTACCAAAACTCCAAGATTAGTCTAAGAAGTAAGGAACAAAAACAGGTTCTACCTTGTCAATAATGGACTGCATGTGAGATTTATGAGACTGGTCACCATAAAGCAAAGAGGACCATTGGTCTGGTGCAATTCGTAAGCCGGCTTCCATAGCAATCTGCACTATCTGGGAGTCATGTTCTCGCCGCAGAGCTTCATAGGTTCTAAATTCTTCTTTCAGCTGCATCAAAGAAGAGTCTTCATCACGTTTGGTGACCTAATAAGACAAAAATAATCTTATAATAAAGTTTAAAAAATGAGTTTATGCTTTATATGAACACATAATTTTTAATGTAACAAATTTAGCAGTAATAGCAAGATTAAAATGAAATATACCATTTGCCTGCAAAATATTTTCTCCTCAACTTATTGAGGTAGGTATATTATTATCACCCCAATAACTTACATTCTGAAGCAAGTTGGATTTAGGCCAACATTTTCTGGTAGGTCTTTCAGAAAGCATCAATACAGGCTGAAAATCTCTTATCCAAAATGCTTACTTAGGTCAGAATTGTATCAGATTTCAGATTTTTTCAAATTTTGGAATATCTGCATTAAACCACTTGAGCATCCTTAATCTGAAAATCTGAAATGCTCCAATGAGCATGTGAGCATCATGTTGCTTTTCAAAAGTTTTGGATTTTGGATTTTTGTGTTAGGGATAGTCAATCTGTATGTGCCGGAATGAAATCCAAAGATTTAATACACTTTAACACATATGTGCAGTTTAAGGTGTATGTGTATGTATATGCATTCTTGAAAAAAAGTAAACACTAATACAATTATATATTCTGAAAAACAATACGTTTCTTCTCCATAAATATGGACTGTGACTCCTGGGCCTGCCTGACAATGAGCTGGTTGGGACTGATGACTGCAGAGCTTCAGATGCCGGTGTGATTCTAAAAATGATTTAATTTGTACTTGCCTTAATTTTCCATGGAGTTTTGTGGGATAGGCTCCTACCAGAAACTGTAAAGTGTGAGATGCTAGACTAGTCATAATAATGATAATATCATTTAGTAAGAAAAATAGCTACCACTTTTACAGCACTTAGTATGTGCCAGCCAATATATTAAATTACATTATTAACCATTATAGTACTGGATTAACTAATTTACTTCTCTTAACTTGTTAAGGTAGGTATATTGATATCACCCCAATAACTTATATTCTGAGTCAAGTTGGATTTAGGCCAAATGCTTAACAAATCAAAGTAAACTAATTAATTCTAGTCTAAGATAACCTCTACCCTAACATGTTTTAGAATACATTTTGCCGGCTGGGCGTGGTGGCTCAAGCCTGTAATCCCAGCACTTTGGGAGGCCAAGGTGGGTAGATCAAAAGGTCAAGAGATCGAGACCATCCTGGTCAACATGGTGAAACCCCGTCTCTACTAAAAATACAAAAAAAATTAGCTGGGCATGGTGGCGTGTGCCTGTAATCCCAGCTACTCAGGAGGCTGAGGCAGGAGAATTGCCTGAACCCAGGAGGCGGAGGTTGCGGTGAGCCGAGATCGCGCCATTGCACTCCAGCCTGGGTAACAAGAGCGGAACTCCGTCTCAAAAAAAAAAAAAAAAAAAAAATTAGCTGGGCATGGTAGCACATGCCTGTAATCCCCGCTACTCAAGAGGCTGAGGCAGGAGAATTGCCTGAACCCAGGAGGTGGAGGTTGCGGTGAGCTGAGATCGTGCCATTGCACTCCAGCCTGGGTAACAAGAGCGAAACTCCATCTCAAACAGAAAAAAAAAAAAAAAAAAAAAGAATACATTTTGCCTTGCTAACCTTTTATTACCACAAGGACTCATCTTTCTTGTTGTACAAAATTCCCATTTCATCCCTCTCACCAAAGAAACTACAAAATATTGTAATCAGGACTTCTAAGTCACACTGCTATAAAATTTACATGAGTGGTGGCATGTGCCTGTAGTCCAGCTACTGGTCAGGCTGCGTGGAAGGATTGCTTGATCCCAGGAAGTGAAGGCCAGCCTGGGCAAGACTCTCTCTCTCAAAAAACAAATTAATAAATAAATGTATACATTGCTTTTTGAGAGAGTGAGTCTTGTGGGATGTACTCTGATAGAATACATTTACTCATTACAAGGAACAAAGTCTAACTTACATTTTGTTAGAAACATACACATACAAACCAAATTGATAAAAATCAAGAACTACAGTCACAAAAACTGGATATATTGTGCCATTATTAAAAGGCAAGCCAAAAGACCAAATGCATATGTTTAGCATCCCCTCAATATATGCTAAACCTCACTGAAATTCAGAGTATGCTTTCTATATGTAACAATGGTTCCCTGAACTTGGCTCTCACCATTCTCTTTAACTAAAAACGATCAAGAATTTCAAAGAGATGAAACATCTAAGTCTCAGAACTTTATTCTACTAAGAAAGAACAAATTATCCTGCAGCTCAAAAAGGCCTTTCAAATGGAAATATAGGAGACACTAAAAGGACCCAGCCAGAACACAGCTGTATGGACACATATTCCTGCAAGGAAAATAATTATGACCTGAGTGAAAAAGCAGATTTTTGCAAATTTCCGATTTTCTTTATTCCTGTTAATGCTTTTTTTTTTTCTTTTTTTTGAGGTAGAGTCTCGCTCTGTCACCCAGGTTGGAGTGCAGTGGTATAATCTCGGCTCACTGCAACCTCTGCCTTCTGGGTTCAAGCAATTTTCCTGCCTCATCCTCCCCAGTGGCTGGGATTACAGGTGCATGTCACCACACCCAGGTAATTTAAAAAATTTTTTTAGTAGAGACAGGGTTTCACCATGTTGGCCAGGTTGGTCTCAAACTCCTGACCTCAAACGATACACCTGCCTCGGCCTCCCAAAGTGCTGGGATTACAGGTGTGAGCCACTGCACCCGGCCATATTACTGCTAATGCTTTAGAGTTCAGAGAGGTTCACTTCATGGGTATTCTGGGTTTTCTTGATCATGTATTCTTCTTCACAAAGGAAGACTGAATGTTTTCTTTCTTTTAAACTCACGGGGGAAGACTGAATGTTTTCTTTCTTTTAAACTTACAGGGGAAGGTTGCATTTTTCTTTCCAAAGCTTCCTATATAAAAGCTGTCTGGTGCTGTTAATGGACAACAATTAACACTGGAAGCAGACAGACACTCTAGAATGTAGTCTGTAAACACGATTTACTACACTGTAAAATCACATTACTCTAACCACTACAACAAGTGTGTTATTCAGAGACAATCTGACCAGTTAAAGTAGTTTTAGCTAGGGGTTCTTATAGCTCCAGAGGCACCGAGAGAAAATAGAGGCCCATTTTCAGTATATAGTTTGACTCCACAAAGAAACAGAGTAAGGTCACCATTTAGCTAGAGATTTAAAATTGTTTTTGTTTAAATGAAATCTGTATGCTCTCCTGTTAATTTTGTGAACGATTTCCTCCTTCTCAAAGGAGGAGACAATAGAATTTAGTAGGATAGCTAATGTGGCGGTTGTGTGTCAGATGACAGAATGTGGTGATCTGAGAATGTATTTCCTTACAGCTAACATGAATGAATTAACAATTTTTTTAAAAGACACGGTTTTCAAGTACTGGTTATGAGCTGTGCCAGAATCAAGACAGTTTGATTTTTAAAAGTCAGGAAAATAGGCTAGTTGTGGTGGCTCACACCTGTAGTCCCAGCACTTTGGGAGGCTGAGGTGGGCAGATCATCTGAGGTCAGGATTTCAAGACCAGCCTGGCCAACATGGTGAAACCCTGTCTCTACAAACATTAAAAAAAAAAAAAAAATTAGCCGGGTGTGGTGGCAGATGCCTGTAATCCCAGCTACTTAGGAGGCTGAGGCAGGAGAACTGCTTGACCCAGGATGCAGAAGATACAATAAGCTGAGATTGCACCACTGTACTACAGCCTGGGTGACAGAGCAAGACTGCGTCTCAAAAAAAAAAAAAAAAAAAGAAAGAAAAAAAAGTCAAAAATAATACTGGACGCACAATAAATGTTACATAATGAATAACAATATTTGAGGCAGTGCTGATTCAATTTGGGATAAGAGACTACATCCAGCATTACCGTATAAACTGAAATGGCAAATGGAGCTTCATTATTGCATATGAGAAATTACACTAGGAGAAAATCTCTGAATAAAATTTATTTGGTGACTCACACTTTTAATCCCAGCACTTTGGGAGGCCAAGGGAGGCAGATCACCTGAGGTCAGTAGTTCAAGACTAGCCTGTCCAACATGGCAAAATCCCATCTCTACTAAAAATACAAAAATTAGCAAGCCAGGCTGGCCCTGCTTGTAATCTCAGCTACTCAGGAGACTAAGACAGGAGAATCTCTTGAACCCAGGAGGTTAGGTTGCAGTGAGCTGAGATCACACCACTGCACTCCAGCCTGAGTGACAGCAAGATTCCATCTCAAAACAAACAAATAAATAAAATTTATTTGTGCTTCATTCAATAACTCTCTTCAGACCAATTCTGCATAGTCTTTGTAAGAAACTGACATAGTTTCTTAGTCTCTTCAAATACAAAAATCTATAAACCTTGATTTGATCTATATTGTTCAATATTGAACATATAAAAATTCAATGTAATAGGATTAACTATAATAAGACACTATCTACATTCTTTAAAAGAATAAAGAAAAATTGCTGAAATTTTCTGAAAAGACACAGGCAACTTCATTAAACGCAAAGTTTTACTACTTAAGTTTGGGGTAGGTTCATACCTTGAAACAGGAGGCTCTATAAAGGAGCTGAACAACATGCCCAATGCTAGTTTTAGAGGCTTGAGGAAACCGTGGCTCCAACCTTTGCACCACAAACAGAACCAATACTTTTCTTGACAAAGCAGAACCGTCTTCTAAGGCCAGTAGAACCAGCTTTAAAGCTTCCTCCTGCATTGCTAGGGAAAGTTGGGCAAAACCAAAATTTATCAAGTACATAAATAAGATAAATCCATCTATTAGAAAGGAAATATTCAATCGTTTCGGCAGCTATCACTCAATTAACTGGCAACACAATAAGATTAACCAGCAACGGCCGGGCGCGGTGGCTCAAGCCTGTAATCCCAGCACTCTGGGAGGCCGAGGCAGGTGGATCACGAGGTCAAGAGATCGAGACCATCCTGGTCAACATGGTGAAACCCTGTCTCTACTAAAAATACAAAAAATTAGCTGGGCATGGTGGTGCGTGCCTGTAATCCCAGCTACTCAGGAGGCTGAGGCAGGAGAATTGCCTGAACCCAGGAGGCGGAGGTTGCGGTGAGCCAAGATCGTGCCATTGCACTCCAGCCTGGGCAACAAGAGCAAAAACTCCGTATCAAAAAAAAAAAAAAAAAAAAAAAAAAAAAAAAAAAAGATTAACCAGCAACACACTTTTCAAACCATTTTTGTGGGCAATTTTGTATTACATTCTATATATTTTATGAAGAAAGCAGGTAAGTGATTAATGCATTTAAGAAAAACTTCTATCAAAATGAATGAACTTTCTGCTACAGGTGTGAAAAAAGGAAAAATTTAAAAAATTTTTAAAAAAATTTTGGCATTAGAGAAAAGTTTTGTGTTTTTATCCTGGAGACAAACCATAAAAAAAAAAAAAGAGAGAGAAAAGTTTTAGTACATCACTTACAATTCCTACATCATACTTTTAGAATTACCAGCAGAATAAATACGAAAACTTAATTACGTACCTGGTCCAAGGAACTGGCAGCCCCTAGCCCTTACTGCTGCCCAAAGATTCGAGGAGAGCTGCTGAGGATTCTGGTGCTGGAGAATGAGCTCTGTAACTGTTCGTTCACCTAAAGATCGAGCTGCCCTCATGGCACGAATCCTGCCTTCTTCTTCTACTAGTTGACAGTGGACCAGAGTCACAAGCTTCCTCTGCATTGGGCGACTCAGAACACTCTGAGTAGTGCTGTTCAGACCCACTCCTTTAAAAGAATAAGGAAGTTATTTCTAGGTTCACAATGCAATCTTAAAGTTCAGGAGCAATTCCTCTGTTGGGTTAACTTGTGGGTATGTGAATAGTTCTGGGTCCTACTAGAGTATTTAAAATAAACAACAAAACCACACATGTAAAGCCTATTTATGTATATATTTTTAAAGTATACAAATGTATATATGAGTTATCTCATGTACACTTAACACTCATTACGACATTAAATATACCATTACTCATTTTAATCACTGAGGAAATAAGAAAAAAAGACTAGACAACATTGATAATTGGTTTATAATCTAAATCTTGAGGCCCTAAGAGTTCTGGTATATTATTTCATAGTGGTTAATCTTACTTTCCTAATTAAATAGCAAGCCCTTTCTGTGCAGTAATGGCAACTTCCATATTTACTATACCCACTATAGCATAGCATATAAAACCTGATAGCAGGCAAACCACTCAGAGTTGTCAAATAATGGAAAACCCTTCTGAAGTAAGTAGTTATACTTGCTTTTATGATCATTCCAATAATGTTTTCATCATCATATAAACTCAAAATTCACTACTTAATTTGATGTGGTTTGTGTTAATGATATTTAACACAAAATGAGTTTGGTTTACTAAATTTGGTTTAATAAATTTCATTAACATTCACTTAATAGCTCATAATTTTATGGTAACAGAAGTTTCTTTAATAGACATTTACTTAGTATAAATAATTGCATCAAATTTACCTTTAATTAGGTTTTTAGTGAACTCCTCCGGACTTCTAATATTAAGATTATGTACTGAATATTTAAAAAAGCAATTTTGCTCTTTAAATAAAAACCAAAAACAAACTTACCTCTAGCACTGCTGAGCGGTTTTAAGTACAATGCTAATTCTTCTACACATTTCTTGGCTTCTTCATAATGCTTTGTGTCTTCCACCCCACTACACAAAGTAATGGGCTGCTGCTCAGGGACCTGGAGGCCAAAAGAAAAGATCCGTCTGAGTGCTCGTTCACTAATTATAGGTTTTATTTAGTATAGTTTATGTACTCACAATGCTAAATCATAAATCAAAACTACCCCGAAATTTACTGAATTCTTTCAAAAGATCTTTCCTACTAACATGTATCTTTTCATTCCTGTTTTGTTTCTCTAACAGCCCAATTAAAACAAAATCCACATACCATTAAGGTAAAATTCACATACCATGCAACTGACTGGTTTAAAGTATATACAATGCCATGGTTTCCAGTATATTCACAGTTGTGCAAACATAACCACAGTCACCTTTAGAACCTTTCATTACCCCAAGAAGAAACACAGTACCCTTTCAACAGCTACCCCTTCTTTCTTTCCAACTACCCACCAACCCTTGGAAAGATGAATCTATTTTCTTTGGATTTACCTATTCTGGACATTTCACATAAGCAAAAAATCAATACAATATATAGTCTTTTCTGACTTGCTTCTTTCACTTAACGATGTTTTCAAGGGTTTCCCGGGTTGTATCAGTACTTCATTCATTTTCATCATTGAGTAACATTCCATTGTATAAATATATCACACTTTATTTATACAATCATCAGTTGACAGACATATGGGTTTTTTCTTTCTGACTATTATGAATAACGCTGGTACGAACATCTGTGTACAAGTTTTTATGTAGACAAAAGTTTTTGTTTCTCTTAGGCATATACCTAGAAATCTATATTTGAACTTTTGAAAAACTGCCAGACTATTTTCCAAAAGCAGAGTCCATTTTATATAACTACCAGAGTGTGTAAGGATTCGAATTCTTCTACATACTTATTATCTTTTTTTCTTTTTTGGACAGCAGTACCTATTTATTGGACAATTCCAGGTCATTCCTGACCTTGTGATTCACCCGCCTCGGCCTCCCAAAGTGCTGGGATTACAGGCGTGAGCCACCGTGTCCGGCATTCCAGGTCATTCCTAACACATCACAGCAGGGTATGTACAGTCTGGCCAAGAGGAGGGACGGAGGGGGCGCACAGACACACAGGGATGGTGGGGAAGTGAACACAAACCGCTGTCTTTCCTTTTTGGTTAAAGAAAAAAAAACTATAATCACTATCCTGCTCATAAGTAAAAGTGAGACGGAAAAAACTTGATGGCTTGAATGTGGCATTTAGACCTCTCCTCCTCCCGTTTCATATGCACAGTTTATTTGGGTAATGCTATTGTCACCAGCAGAACACCTATAAGCAAGAACAAAAGTCAGGAAGGAAAAAGTATGAACAAAAGGAAGCTGGAGAAGGTGGCCCTCGGCCCCGGGAGGGGGCAGGTGTGCAGGAAGGTATGCCTGCTCTTCTCGAACTCCTGCAGCAGCCCCAGTCTTGTTCTCCGTGTCCTCCTTGGGCTGGATATACCAGCAGAGCTCACAGATGAGCAACACCCTCAGGGTGGCCTCTTCGTGGTTGTCCTGGATGTCCACATTGACGACGTGTACTAGCTGGCAGGTCTCCTGTTCTCTGGAATTCAGATCTTCCACCACCTCAAGTGAGGATCAGATCAAACAGGTCTTTGTAGTTCTGGAATCCTTCTGGCAGGGCTTGATTCTCTTATTTCTGTCCGGCATATGCAAAATGCCATTCTGTGTATAGAGTTCTTTGTCTTTCCTAAGAAGATCATTGTACATCTGGTCATACGTGGTTTTGAAATCATAAACACTGGGCTTATCGGGAGCTGGTCCTGGAAGCTTCACCTGAGTCCCTGTTCCAAAGGATTGGACACTGACTTCTCGTTTGCTGAGGATGTTGTGCACCTCCATGCTCCGGTTCTGGCTGCTTGAGCACAACACCGCCACCCATGGGGATGACAGCATGGCGGCCACACAGCCTATGGAGATCCTGCTCGGGCTCCCACCCTACCACGGCGCTTCCACGCGAGCAAAATGGCCTTTTTTTATATAGCGATCCTGGTGGCTGAAAAGCAGTAATTCATTTTGGCTTTTTAAAATGAATAACGATTGCATATATTTATGGGGTACAATGTGATGTTTTGATTGATACATTCACAATGTGAGATGACTAAATCAGGTTAATTAAAAAATCCATCACCTCACACATTGTTTTTTGCAAATTTTAAATAAAATCTACTATTATAAGTTTTGAAACATATAATGTATTACTATTTATAATTACTATTACTATTTATAATCACTATTGCACAACAGATCACTAAAAGCTATTCCTCCAGTCTAACTGAAGCTTTGTATTCTCTGATAATTATCTCTTCTTCCCATCTACCTTCCTCCCCCTTCATTGTGGTTTTGATTTGTATTTCCCTGATAGCTAATGATGGTAACCATTCTTTCATATGCTTATTAGCCATCTGTATATCTTCTTTGGAGAAATGTCTAATCAGATCCTCTGTCCATTTTTCCTAATATATTTTATTTTGTAGAACAGTTTTAGAGTTACAGAAAATTGGCAAAGGTAATACACAGAATTCTCATTATCCTGTGTTCAGTTTTCCCTATTAACCACATCTTACATTGGTATGGTACTTTTTTTTTTGAGACAGAGTTTTGCTCTTGTTGCTCAGGCTGGAGTACAATGGCATGATCTTGGCTCACCACAAACTCCGCCACCCGGGTTCAAGCAATTCTCCTGCCTCAGCCTCCCAGGTAGCTGGAATTACAGGCATGCATTACCATGCCCAGCTAATTTTGTATTTTTCGTAGAGATGGGCTTTCTTCATGTTGGTCAGGCTGGTCTTGAACTCCTGCCCTCAGGTGATCTGCCCGCCTTGGCCTCCCAAAGTACTGGGATTACAGGCGTGAGCCACCATGCCCAGCAAGTATGGTACATTTGTTAAAATTAATGAGCCAGTATCAACATATTCATAATTAACAACTAAAATCTATATGTTAATCAGATATCCTTAGTTTTCACCTAATGTTCTTTCTCAGTTTCAGGATCCCACCTAGGATAGCATATTACATCTAGTTTTCAGAGAGAATCTTGCTCTGTCACTCAGGCTGGAGTACGGTGGCAATATCTGGGCTCACTGCAACCTCTGCCTCCCAGGTTCAAGCAATCCTCCACCTCAGCCTCCTGAGCAACTGGGACTATAGGCACACGCCACCACACCCAGCTAATTTTGTAATTTTTATAGAGATGGGGGTCCTATTACATCACCCAGGTTGGTCTCGAACTCCTGGGCTTGGCACCATCCACCCACCTTGGCCTCCTTCTCTCCTTCCATGTTTCTCTTTCTCTCTTTTATTTTTAAGTTGAGACAAGGTCTTACTCTGTTGCCCAGGTTGGAGTACAGTGGCAAAATCTAGCTCACTACAACCTCCCACCTCCCAGGTTCAAGAGCGTCTCATGCAAAAGTAGCTGGGATTACAGCATGTGCTACCATGCCCAGCTAATTTTGTGTATTTTTAGTAGAGATGGGATTTCACTGTATTGGCCAGGCTGGTCTCGAACTCCTGGCCTCAAGTGATCCGTCCGCCTGCCTCAGCCTCCCAAAGTGCTGGGATTACAGGCATGAGCCACTGCACTGGCCCTTCCAAGTCTCCTTAAGCTCCTCTTGGCTTGGACAGTTTCTCAGACTTTCCTTGTTTTAATGCCCTTTATAGTTTTGAGGAGCAGTGGTCTGGTATGTTGTAGAATGCCCCTAAACTGGGATCTGTCATTTTTCTCATGAGTATTCTGGGGTTATGGATTTTTGGAAGTACGATCACTTCCAAAAGTGCCATTTTCATCACATCATATCAAAGATATATAGCACCAACACAACTTATTATTGCTAATGTTAAATTTGATCAGCTGGTTTGGTCAGTGTTTACCAGGTTTCTCCACTATAACGTTACGTATCTCCCATCTTTCAAACTGTACTTTTTGGAAGGAGTCACTATGCGTAGCCTACACACATTGTACATCCTAGAAGGCAGAGTATCCATGTAATTATTTTGGAATTCTGCATGGGAGACTTGTCTCTTTCTTCCATTTATTTATTCAATCATTTAATTTTATTGTGTAGACTCAAGTATATTTATCTTATACCTGGGTTATAATCCAATCTCATTTATTTTGCCATTCAAACTGTTTTAGCTTTGGCCATTGAGAGCTTTTTTGGCCATTGACAGCTAAAACATTAGTTGGCTCCTGTGTGCCTTTGATACAGCCCCCATTACTCTGTGTACATGTTTATGTATGTTCTGAATACTTCTCTTTACTTTCCAGCATTATAAGCTACTTCAGGCTCATTTTGTATATTTGCTGTCCCAGTGTCAGAATTGGCCATTTCTCCAAGGAACTCTGGTTTCTTTTATTGGAGAACGGTATTAGAAACCAAGATATGAATGCACATCGCTATTGGGGTGTTGTTCCTTCTGGGCCATCTTAGATGGAAGAGCAAGGAAATATGTTAGTGTAATAACCCGAGATGTATACATATCAATTTCTGTATCCATATCAAGCTAAACATGAGTTTATGACTCCAACTTGAATCCATTGCCACATGAATCATTCAAATGTCTTCTTCCTTGCTTATCTGTGAACTTTAACAGTGAGAAAACTTGCTCCAATCATTTGCCATTTACTTACTTAACTGTTCAATTCCAATATGTATTATACATACAGCTGCATCAGAATTAATTCATACCCCCATGGGAAAAGACTAGAGTATACTACTTATAGATAATATCTTCCTCTATCTTTAATCTTACACAATCCATCTTTCTCCTCCACCCCTTTAGTGAAATTGTTTCATATATTTCAGATTGTTTTCCAAATCTTTGTAAAGTTCTAGTTTTTGACAAATTCACAGTGTCATACAGCCACAATTACAGAATCATAAAGAACAGTTTTACTGTCCTAAGCAATACTCTGTATTTCACCAAATTCAATCCTCCCTCCTTCCTCCTGAATCCCATGGCAACCACTGATATTTTTATTGTTGCTATGGTTTTATCTTTTACATAATATCATATAATTGGAATCATACAGTATGTAGCCTTTTCATACTGATATCTTTCACTTAGCAATGATATACATTGAGATGTAACCATGTCTTTTTGCGACTTGACAGCAATGTCTTTTTATTATTTCACTTTTTTTTTTTTTTTTTTTGAGACAGAGTTTCGCTCTTGTTACCCAGGCTGGAGTGCAATGGCATTTTATACGATGTTCCATTGTATGGATATACCACTGTTTATCCATTCACCTATTAAATGATATCTCAACTATTTCCATTTTTTGGCAATCATGAATAAAGTTGTTATAGTCATATGAAGGTTTCTGTGTAGATATAAATTTTCAAGTTAGTTGGGTAAATAGCTACTATGTTAAGTTCATAAAGAAACTGCCAAACTGTCTTTCAAAGTGGTTATATCATTTTTCATTTCCAAAAGAATCGAGAGTTTTTTTTCTTTTATCTTTTTTTTTTTTTTTTTTGAGACAGAGTCGTTCTGTCACAGAGGCTGGAGTGTACTGGCATGATCTTGGCTCACTGCAACTTCCACCTACATGGTTCAAGCGATTCTCTGCCTCAGCCTCTTGAGTAGCTGACTTTACATGCACACGCCACCACACCCAGCTAATTTTTGTATTTTTAGTAGAGATGGGATTTTACTATATTGGTCAGGCTGCTCTTGGAACTCCTGACCTCATGATCTGCCCGCCTCAGCCTCCCAAAGTGCTAGGATTACAGATGTGAGCCACCAAGCCCGGCCAGAATTAGAGTTTTTGTTGGTCCATATCCTCACCAGCATTTGGTGTTGCTAATGTTTGGATTTTGGCCATTCTAACTGGTGTGTAGTGGTATCTCACTTGCTTTAATTTGCAATTCCTTAGACAACTGCTGAGCTATATTTCATTTGCTGATCTGCCACCTGTATAATCTATTTGATGAGGTGACTGCTCAGCTCTTTGTCCATTTTCAAAATTGGGTTGTCTTTTTATCAATGAGTTCTAAGAGTTCTTTAAATATTCTATATATGTCTTTATCAGAAGTATGATTTTACAATTGTTTTCATACATTCTGTGGGTTGTTCTTTTCGCTTTCTTGTTTGTATCTTTGTTTTTTGTTGTTGCTGTCATTTTTGAGATAGGGTCTCATTCTGTCACCCAAACTAGAGCATAGTGCTGCAATCACAGCTCACTGTAGCCCTGACCTCCTGGGCTCAGGTGATACTTCCACCTCAGCCTCTCAGATATGTGGGACTACAGGCATGTGCCACCACACCCAGGAATTTTTTTTTTTCGTATTTTCTGTAGAGATGGGGTTTTGCCATGCTGCCTAGGCTGGTCTTAAACGATCCACTCAGCTTGGCCTCCCACAGTGCTGGGATTACAGATATTAGCCACTGCACCTGGCCAGTATGAACATATCTTTGAAACACAGTTTTTAGTTTTAATGAAGTTCAACTTCTCTTTTTCTTTTGTTTCTTGTGCTTTTTCTCATATCTTAAAAAACAAAAAAAAACCCACTGCCTATTCCATGGTCATGAAGACTTATGTCTATATTTTCTTCTAAGAGTTTCATAGTTTTAGTTCTTACATTTAGCCTTTGATCCATTTGAGTTAATATGAATACATGGTTAGTCAAGTCTTAAGTTTCTTTTAACAATGATTTGTAGTCTTCAGTTTTACTTTTTTTGACAGTCATGCTCTGTCATCTAGGTTGGAATGCAGTGGTATAATCTTAGCTCACTGCAACCTCCACCTCCCAGGTTCAATACAGTCTCCTGTCTCAGCCACCTGAGTAGTTGGGATTACAGGTGTGCACCTTCATGCCTGGATAATTTTTGTATTTTTTGGTAGAGATGGGGTTTCACCATGTTGGCCAGGCTGGTCTTGGAACTCCTGGCCTTAGGAGATCTGCTAGCCTTGGCCTCCCAAAATGCTGAGATTACAGGCATGAGCCACTACACCTGGCCTAGTTTTACATTTCTTTTGTTAAATATATTCTTAGTATTTTACTTTTTTGATGCTCTTATAAATGAAATTGATTTCTGTTTTCAGAGTGTCCATTGCTAGTGTATAGAAATGTATTATTTATTTAACAAATCTTTAGTAAGGGCCTACTATGTGCCAGACATTCTTTCTTATATGTGTAAGAAAACTATTATTAACACATTGTGGATGAACGTATACAACACTAGCTGGGTATGCTGGCTCATGCCTGTATTCCTAGACCTCTGGGAGGTTCCAGTGGGTGGGTCACTTGAGGCCAGGATCTGGAGACCAGCCTGGCCAACATGGCGAAACCCCATCTCTACTAAAAAGACAAAACTTAGTTGGGCATGGTGGTGCACACCTGTAATCCCAGCTACTTGGGAAGCTGAGGCACGAGAAACACTTGAGCTGGAGAGGCGGAGGTTGGAGTGAGCCAAGATTGTGCCACTCCAGCCTGTGCCACAGAGCAAGAAAAAAAGAAAGATTATGAAACATTGTAAACGCATTTTTACACCTTTGAAAGACTTTTGCTTTTTCAGACAACTGATATTTATATATTCATCTTATATTCTGTAACTTTGCCTAACTAGTGTTTTGTTTCTATTAGCTTTTCCTTTGTAAATTTCTTAACATTTTCTGTATATAAGACCATGTCATCTGTGAATGAGATAGTTTTTACTTTTTTCCTTCTTATCTGAAAGTCATTGGTTTAATTTAATTGCCTAATTGCCCTGGCTAGAAGGTCCTGTATGATGTTAAACAGAAATAGTTAAGAGTGGAGTTCCTTGACTTGTTCCTGATCTTTAAGAAAAAGAATCTAGTTTTTCACCATTCAGTATGTTAGTTGTGGGTTTTTCATCCACGTTCTTTAATGGGTTCAAGAAGTTTCTTTCCTAATTGTTTCAGTGCTTTTTATCATGAAAAGGTATTCAATTTTGCCAAATGCTTTTTTTGTGTCTACTGAGATGATCATATGTGTGCAATTTTGAAATGTTTATTGATATAGTGAATTACTAATTGATTTGCAGATGTTAAATCAACTTTACGTTCCTAGGACAAATTGGTGATGATCTATTTTAAAGTCTAATTTATTATTTTTTTTCCTTTTAGATGAAAGAAAAAAAATTTTTTAATTCTGATAATATATACATACACTGTAATCCCAGCACTTTGGGAGGCCAAGGCGGGTGGATCACGAGGTCAAGAGATCGAGACCATCCTGGTCAACATGGTGAAACCCCGTCTCTCCTAAAAATACAAAAAATTAGCTGGGCATGGTGGCGCGTGCCTGTAATCCCAGCTGCTCAGGAGGCTGAGGCAGGAGAATTGCCTGAATCCAGGAGGCGGAGGTTGCGGTGAGCCGAGATCGCGCCATTGCACTCCAGCCTGGGTAACAAGAGCGAAACTCCGTCTCAAAAAAAAAAAAAAAAAAAAAAAATATATATATATATATATATATACACACACACATACACACATACACAAAATGTACCATCTTAACCATTTTTAGGTCTGTAATACATAAAGTATGCTCTAATGGTTCCCAAACATTGTGCTATAGTTTTTGCCACCTTTTTCGTCTTTCATTTCAGTTAACGTCTACTGAGTAAAACTGCCTGATGCAGCTGCACCTTCTCTACTGAGTAAAGTGTACTGGTTTTATGAACAATATTTTTCTCAATGTTAAAAGAGGTTTTTATTACTTACATCTTAGGTTTTTTTTTCTTTTTTTGAGACAGGGTCTTACTCTGTCACCCAGGTTGGAGTGCAGTGGTGTGATCTTGGCTTACTGCAACCTCTGCCTCCTGGGTTCAAGCAATTCTTGTGCCTCAGCCTCCCGAATAGTTGGGATCACAGGTGCACACCACCACACCCAGCTAACTTTTTTGTATTTGTAGTAAAGACAGGATTTCACATTAGCCAGGGTGATCTCAAACTCCTGACCTCCAATGATCCACCCGCTTCGGCCTCCCAAAGTACTGGGATTACAGGCATGAGCCACCACACGTGGCCTTACGTTTCTCTAGTGATCTGCATAGCTAGGTTTATTGAATATCTGACAAGATTAAATGGATGTTACTGTGCTATGACTGAAAAGCACTGGGCTACCTACCACAATAAACCCAACATGCTGAAATAAAGGGTTTGCAGTACCAAACAGAATTACACCTATTTAAGTAGAAGGCAATGTTACCCAATTTTAGGGTTTGCAGTACCAAACAGAATTACACCTATTTAAGTAGAAGGCAATGTTACCCAATTTTAATTCAACAGGTTTCTCTCAGGAGAAAAACACACAAAACACACACACACACACACTTGAAAGCATCAAGTCACCCATCTTACCTGAGCACCCACGAGCTGTAGCAATGCTGAGTTCACAGGGAGGAGCTCAATGTCTGTATTGATAGTGGTCTGGTCAAATGGGCAAGCCTTGCGGTGGAGTTTATTTAGGCACATCTTGCAGACAGTATGGCCACAACCCAAACTGATGGGCTTTCGAATTGTTTCGTCGAAAGTCTGAGTGCAAATTGGGCAGGAGAGGAAATCCGTCCATTGCGGAGCTTGTACAGGCATTGCTTCTGGAGTTACAATTCACGAACACAAACACACACACAAATCTAAAGCAAAGATTCCACTGGAATCAAAATCTTTGAAAAAAAGTTTATCTTTTTTTTTTTTTAAATATCTTCTGTAGATACAGTCAGCACATAGTGTGAAATATAACCTGGAAAAAAAAAAAAAAAGGGAAAAAATTGCATGTCTTTCTTTCCAATTAAATTGCTGAAAAAAAACCACAAGTCCAGTCTTATTCCACAACTTTTTATACCACATTTGTACCACTGTAATCCATCTTTTTACACTTACAGATTTAGAGCCATGATAAAACATCTAGTTCCATTCCCTCATTTTAGAGATGGGAAGTAGTCCCCTGCCTGAGGGGACACTTGAAATTAGTAATAAAGTTAGATCCAGGACCCAAGTCTCTTAAGTTTATTTAAAGTCTCTCATTTTAAAAAATAAATATCTCTAAAACTTAATCTTGGCTGGGCACAGTGGCTCACATCTGTAATCCTAGCAATTTGAGAGGCCAAGGCAGGTGGATCCCTTGAGGTCAGGAGTTGAAACCAGCCTGGCCAAACATGGTGAAACCCCATCTCCACTAAAAATACAAATATTAGCCGGGTGTGGTGGCAGGCACCTGTAATCCCAGCTAATCAGGAGGGTGAGGCATGAAAATCGCTTAAGCCTGGGAGGCAGAGGTTGCAGAGGGCCAAGATGATGCCACTACACTCCAGCTTGGCTGAAGAGTGAGACTCTGTCTTAATAAATAAATAAGTAAATAAATAACTCTTTTTAAGGAAACTAGTAATATTGTATTTCTTGATCTGGGTTTCGTTAGTTGTGAAAATGTATCAAGCTCTTCACTTACGTGCACTTTTATGTATGTTCCACATCAATAAAGAGTTTTTCTTTGTAAATGGCCTAAAATAAAAAGTACCTTAAATACTTTGTCATCAAATTTGGTAGGAGTAATGAGATAAAAAGAGACTGTGGGTTTTTTTTTTTTTTTTTTGAGACAGAGTTTCGCTCTTGTTACCCAGGCTGGAGTGCAATGGCGCAATCTCGGCTCACCGCAACCTCCGCCTCCTGGGTTCAGGCAATTCTCCTGCCTCAGCCTCCTGAGTAGCTGGGATTACAGGCATGCGCCACGATGCCCAGCTAATTTTTTGTATTTTTAGTAGAGACGGGGTTTCACCATGTTGACCAGGATGGTCTCGATCTCTTGACCTCGTGATCCACCCGCCTCGGCCTCCCAAAGTGCTGGGATTACAGACTTGAGCCACCGTGCCTGGCTCGAGACTGTGGGTGTATTTTTAAGTTTCAGATATTCTTCTGAGTTTTATATACTGGTAGATGTCTCTTTTAAGTTCCTTGTGTGGCCTATACTCATTTGCTACAGCATGTTTTAGAACTATATTGACTTCACAGCCATTCTGTTCTTACAGCAAGCTTGGTCAAGTCCTTGTTCTGATCTTTGTCTTCTCAACAAGATATGAAACAGACTACTCCCTCCTTATAAGTGTTAATGAACCACATTCCCCTTCTCCATCCTTCCCAACTCACTGGCTATTCTTCTGAAAGCTTAAAACTTAAAAATGCTGGAGTTATCAGGGTGCTATCTTGAGTTTCCTTTTCTCATCATGTTCTAGCTTAAAATCCTTACATGGCTTCCTATTATATTTAGAATAAAATTCAGATTTCTTATTCATATATACAAAGTCCTAAATGATATGACCTCTCCAACTGCATCACCTAACACCAGAAGATTTTCATCACAGGACCTTCTTTTCTTTTTCTTTCAGGCTCTATAGGCTTCAGGACATAAATCAGATGTTTTTTCTTTCCTTTTTTCTTTGTTGAGATGTTCTTAAAATTGCAGCAAGTATTTGAGAATCACTACATGTCCAGCACTGTAGGCTATGGACAGCAAGACAAACAACAGTTCAATCTTTCCCTGCTCTCCCACGATTTCAGGTCAATGCTGCTGTAACAAATTTCCTAAATGATTCTGCTGTAACAAAAACTGTTTAAAATAAAATTATAAAATATTATTGGTAAAAGATACCTTAGAGAAAGTATAATTCTAGTTTCACTGGTTTTTTAAGATAACATTCATTTATGTCTCTACCAGTAACAAGTCTTAAGTTTTTTCAAACACCTCTTTTTATTAATCTTTACAACTAAAAAGTTGGTATCATATTCCTTATTTTTACCAAAAAAAAAAAAAAAAAAAAATTTCAGAGAACTTGTCCAAGTTTATAAAAGGGTAAGTAGCAAACTTAAGACAACAACCACCCCAGGTCTTCTTGACAGGAAAACTTATATACTTTCAACTATACCAGTTTTTGACATGGACTAGACCAAAGGCAAGAGAAGTACAACAGCTTCACTCAAAGAAGCCAAGTTTTCTGACTCCTAGTTTTAATGTCTCTTGTACCTCCACTGGGTTACCTTGCACACAAACCTATCACTGAACCTCTGAAAGATTCTGAAAATATCCTTGTCATATTAAAACTATAATTAGTAACCGTTGACCCAGATCAAGGTATCCATTAACCTTGGAAACAATACATACATGTGCATTCTTCTGGAAAGAAGATTCATGACTTTTATCATATTTTCAAAAGCTCTGTTGGGGAAGGGGGTAGAGGGAGGGAAGAATTACTGACCTAGACATAAATAACTTTTGATGGCCAGGCTCAGTGGCTAAGGTCTGTAATCCCAGTACTTCGGAAGGCTGAGGTGGGTAGGTCACTTGAGGTCGGGAGTTTGAGATCAGCCTGGCCAACATGGCGAAACCTCGTCTCTACCAAAAATACAAAAAACTAGCTAGGTGTTGTGGCGCATGCCTGCAATCCCAGCAACTCAGGAAGCTGAGGGAGGAGAACTGCTGGAACCCAGGAGGCGGAGGCTGCAGTGAGCCGAGATCCAGCACTGCACTCCAGCCTGGGCGACAGAGCAAGACTCTGTCTCAAAAAAAAACTAACAAACAAAAAAAACTTTTGAGAACCTAAGAATATTTTAAAAGTAGAAACAATTTATATGAACATAGGTTTCCTCCGTATTTATACCACAGTCTCAACAGACTCATACAAATCTTTCAGGCTGGGTGTGATGGCTCATACCTGTAACTCCAGCACTTTGAGGGGCTGAGATGGGAAGATGGCTTGAGCCCAGGAGTTTGAGACTAGCCTGGGTAACATAGGGAGACCCTCTCTCTACAAAAATTAGCCAGGCATGGTGGCATGCACCTGTGGTCCCAGCGACCCAGGAGGCTTAGGCTAAGGTAGGAGGATCACCTGAGCCCAGTCGAGGCTGCAGTGAACCACAAACATGCCACTGCATTCCAGTCTGGGTGACAGAGCAAGACCTCCATCTCAAAAAAGAAAAGAAACCTTATTCAATTTCCCAGAAAAAATTAAATTCAGTTAGATGACAAAAAAAGGTTTTATTGGTCTTTACTATGTGTTCAGTACTAGGGATTTAAAAAAAATGGTAAGACATTCTAACACCACATGGAGTTTGCATTCTTTCACTAAACGTTTATACAATGATTACAAGTTATGGTAAGTGATACTTAGGTAAAGTACAGGGAGATACAAGCATATATAACAGAGGCAACCTGACAAAATTAGGGTAGAGCTGATGTACAGGTAAGTGATATTTATGTTAAGATTTTAAAGATGACTGCTGAATGAACATCATGGGAAGAATAATGTTTAATATGTGTGTATAGATTCTAGGTAAAGAAACAGCATAACCATAGATTCTGAGACTAGATAGAATATAGTACAAATAGGGAGCTAAAAAACAAACAAACAAACAAACAAAAAAACAGACAATAGTGAAACTAAACCCAAACAAAACTCAGAATAGACAGCAAGAGGTATGAGAATTAAAGAACTAAAGAATTAAAAACGACCAAAGAACACAGGATCTTCTAACTTATATGATGGCATTTGGTTACTATGCGAAGAGTAGTATAAAGCCATCGAAGGGACAGGAAGTGACTCACTTTGTTTTGAATGTTCTCCTGTGATATTATTATTCTCACCAATCACACAGTTCACTATGATCTCCTTCAAGGCCCAACTAGGAAGAGTAATAAGTATGCGTCTTTTCTCACTCTTGAGCCTTAAAGTACTCATATGCTGCTACACCAGCATGATGCCTATTTTTTAAAAACCTGTTACGTAAAAACTCTAATACAGAAAACAGATTGATTACAGTGATTATCCATATTACAGAAAGATAGTAAGTTTACCGAGGTATTTATAATAAGATCTAAAAGACCAGAAATTGATGCAATTGAAAAAAACTTAGCTGGATGTGGTGGCTCACACCACTAATCAGGACTTTGGGAGGCTGAGGCACACAGACTGCCTGAGGTCAGGAGTTTGAGACCAGCCTGGCTACCATGTTGAAACCAACTCTACTAAAAAAAAAAAAAAAAAAAAAAAAAAAAAAAAAAAATTAGCAGGCATGGTGGCACACACCTGTAGTCCCATTCTCCTATTCAGGAGGCTGAGGCAGGAGAATCGTTTGAACCTGGGAGGTGGAGGTTGCGGTAAGCCAAGATTGCACCACTGCACTCCAGCCTGGGCATAACAGAGGGAGATTCTGTCTCCAAAAAAAAAAAAAGATTCCTGTGATAATCACTCTAAATGATTCAAAACATTTGTCCTTATTAAATTTATGTTCTTTTACACATTTGGATAGCCAAACCATCAAAACTTATTAGTTCTTTTCAAAATTTAAAAACTTTAGAATAGTTTGTAACTTCTCTCTCTCTTTTTTTTGTACTTTAGGTTCTGGGGTACATGTGCAGATCATGCAGGATTGTTGCGTAGGTACACACACGGCAAGGTATTTGCTGCTTTCATCCCCCCATCACCTGTATCTGGTATTTCTCCCCACGTTATCCCTCCCTGCCCTCCTGTAACTTATCTCTTTCAAAGAACTAGCATTCCCTTATTAATTTTATTGATCACTTCCATCTCTATTAACTTTGTAAAATAAAGTATGTAGCTCTTAATGTCTTAGATTTTCTAGTAAAATAGTTCTTAGACACAACTATAAAAAAACTTAATAGAATAAAAATACAAAAATCAATTCAGTTCTTCATTAAAAATAAAACCACTGGCCAGGTGTGATGGATCACAC